CACTTTGGTGATCAAATATATAACAGACAAGCACAGGCAATTGAAGGGATTAAAATTTCTTACATGATCTTATCTAGTATACTACAATATTAAACGGTATCTCACGCGCCATAATGTTTTGACTCGGTGAAGACATTTCTTCCTGGATTATAGCACAATACTTACTACAGCCTACTTCCGTTTTATTGCTACATATAATTCGAATTATATGGCACGTGATATACCTTTTATACACATTAGTATGCTAGACCAGATAATGTAAGAAATTTTAATCCCTTCAAGTGCCTGTGCAGACGAGGAAGCTAGATATGTTTGAGATGCAGTATGACCTTTATAAGAGAATGTATTTTATCCTCTATGCTTGTTAAACGACAAATTCTCGAAATAGTCATCTGTTGATGTTTCATTCTCGATCCCTCGTGCATCTGTAAACCAGTATGTCAAATGAAAATAAATGCATTGCATATACACAGACAATTATCTGAGCAGAGCTTTGACATTTAAATAGATGTTATGCTATCTCAGATTTAAAACACACAAAGGAAATCAAGCCAGTCATGTTTTTTTGGTGAAAAGTCCAAATTCACTTTCTGGCACACAAAACGGGTCAAGTAGATAAAGTGGGCGTGGCTCACTACTTTCGTTTTCCTACTTGATCTATTATAATTAAAGGTTAAACGTCTGGTCGGTATTTCAGTATTGGGTGATATTTTTACACCAAGTAGACAGATCTATTTTTATAGATTCAATTAAACATACATTAGGCAAGAGCTAAATCTGCCAATTCCACGTCTTTCTTTAGGCCTGAAATGTTATCTAAATTTTCTGGATTAGAATACTATCTGCTGCTTAACGAATATTGATAATTAAGTCAAAAAAATGGATAATCGAGACTATGCTTTTTATCGTACCGACTTTAGTAATCATGATCGAGGCTAGACCCAAAATTCAATCGCTAAAATCTCGGTGCAGAGAGTGTATCAATTTGATCGAAAATTTCAGCAAATTGCTTTTACATTATCTAGTATTAACTATTATAGTGAGAACTGACAGCTCTTTATCAAATCTCCTATAATGTATCTTTAAGTTTAAAGATAAACGAAGTGAAATGAAATGGGGTTTAACGTCCTACTTTTCTGTAAAAGAGCCCTTGACATTTGTATTTCGAAATAATAAAAATTCCGTCATATCACACTGTATGGAGTATGCCTGTCTTCGTTAGTCCAGTCGATGCAGAAAAGTAGAAAGTTAAACTCCATTTTGGTGCCACGATGGCTAAGTAGGTAAGACGCGCTCGATCTCTGCATTGGCTGAGAAAATTCATCGGATTTTCCGGCGTGCTTTCTCCTTGTCAGTGGTACAGGATGGAGGACCTGACAAGAGCAGCTGTCTAGTCGTTGGGATGGACGAAAAACCGAGGTCCCGTGTATGCATTGGCGTGCCCTTAAAAGATCCCGTGGCAGTTGGAATTCGATATAAGAGTCTTCCATAGTGCCGCTGCCTGGGAAAAATTCACACATAACACACTGTATGTTGTATGCCCGTCTTGATTAGCCCATTGCAGTTCGGAGCAGAACAGTAGGACGTTAAACCTCATTTCATTTCACGTGTACGCCAACGAGTACATGGGACCTCGATACATGTCCCATCCCGTACAATTTGGCATGTCGGTGCAGAAAAGTAGGAAGTTAAACCCCATTTCACTGAGTTGCAAAGGTAAATACTCTAGAATACTATCAAAATATACATGACCTTTCATCAATGTTGGTGACCTATTTTATTTTATTTTTGTCTCTCAGAACAGTATCAAGGTGATGCTAGTATAGAAAAGATTTTATTCAAGTGTTTTACACGTAAACACTAATATTTGCTTTGGTTTATTCATTTGTAGGGACGGGTATTTTCGAATGGCCTATATATATATATACAAAGGTAAAACAAAATTACTTAGCCATATCAACTTTTCCAAATAATCGAACGCGTGCGCCTAGATCATTAGGTCGGGTCACCGATGCAAGTGTCGAGGAATCGGTGCCATTCTTGTTATTGAAATGGAACAGGGTAGTCCCCAGGATCGTCAGTTAAAGACAGCTGCCCCCCTATTCCCCCATCACCCCCCACCCCAACCGCACACACACCCCACCAGCCAACCAGGAGTGTCTTCGGTATAACGCCCCATCTCGAACAATTTGGCATGACTAACAACCCTTCTTGCCCCTAAAGAAGAATGAGTATATAATAATATTGACATTCGTTTTGCTGAGCTAAGCAGAAATCTATTACTAATATCCTTATGTTTACCAGATAGGAAGACGAGAAGTGCGTTATTTATATAAATATTTGAATATATTTTGTTTTAATGTTCAGCCCCAGGGTGTTCCTTCCGTTTAATATTGTATCAATGTCACTTCCGGTCGGTATAGAAGTGGAAACTAAGTGTACCGTTAAAATCTCAATATAAAAAATGTATACATTTGTAAGTGAGAAGAAGGTAAACATATATATTAACGTGAAGTGATATCAGGTGGTCTATAAGATTGTTAGTTATATGAAGTGGTATCAGGTTGTCTATAAGATAGTTAGCTATAGGAAGTGATATCAAGTGGTCTATAAGATTGGTACTTATGTGAAGTGGTATCAGGTGGTCTATAAGATTGTTAGCTATAGGAAGTGGTATCAGGTGGTCTATAAGATTGTTAGCTATGTGAACTCTCCAAATGAGAAATGGTATCAAATGGTCTATACATTCGTTAGCAATATGAACTCCTCAAATGAGAAGTGGTATCAGGTGGTCTATAAGATTGTTAAAGATACATTAGTTAAGAGTTTAATAAAGAGTTGGCCATTCTTGCTATAACAGTTAAAAAAAAGATAATGTAAAATGAAAATATTGAAAATCTCATTCAAATTACTTCATTCTGAGCCAAACTATCACTGTTTGTAGTTTTGAGAAGATGTGTACCTAGTAGTTACCAGGGTTTTGGTATATTCGAGACTTAGCCTCGTTTTCCGATTTTTAAATTAAATTTTTAAATGGCGAACCGTTCTAATGTAGTTAAAATCTCTAGTATCCGATGCCATCGAGAGTTGATTATGGTCTTGTTTTGTTAATAAATGTCTAATTAATAGTTTATATAACATTTCAGGAAGATTTGGCTCTTGCATAATGTATGTTTAACTACATGAACTTCTCAAATGAGAAGTGTTATCATGTGATCTATCAGATTTTTAGCTGTGTATGAACTCCTAAAATAAGAAGTGATATTAGATGATCTATAAGATTGATAGCTATGTGAACTCTCCAAATGAGAAGTGGTATCATGTGGTCCATAAGCATTTTAGCTGTGTGTGACCTCCCAAAATAATAAGTGGTGTTAGATGGTCTATAGAATTAATAGCTATGCGAACTCCTCAAATGAGAAGTGTTATCACGTGGTCTATAAGCTTTTTAGCTGTGTGTGTACTCCTAAAATAAGACGTGGTATTATATAGTCTATAATATTGGTAGATATGTGAACTCCTTAAATGAGAAGTGACATCAGATGCTCTAGAAATAGGCTTCATACCTGGATTTCAGAAGACAGTATCGCAATCTGGTTAGGAATAATCGTACGATGAACTGAGCGAAACATTTTATTTTTCATTTTATTTCTGAAACACTATTTTTATTGTTAGATTAAATCTTTGATTTAGTACATATGAAATATCTCATTGGGCTAATAACCGTGCCAGTTATTTCCATTGTGATGGAACACGCTCTATTTAATCAAAGATGCATTATGAAAGAGCTTATTGCGGTTTTTATTTTCACTTTAAATTATTATTATTTAGACCATCGGATGGCGCAGATGTAAAAGGTTTAAAATACGATCGTTATTTAATGATTTAATTTTAAAATGGAGAAGCAAGACTGAGTCTCGATTAACAGGTAACGTTGCTTCGATAATAAACAATCTATGTCAAAACTTCAAAAAATGATAACGTCGCCCAGCATAAAGTAATTTGAACGAAAATTTCAATATATTCATTTTTCATTATCTATTTTTGAACTAGTATAGCGAGAACGACCAGCTCTGTATCTAAATCTTACATAACTCGCTCTATTCAATTCAACATTTTTGCTTTTCAATTCCCCCCCCCCCCTTGTCGACAGTAGAACACACAATCGATTTTGAACGAACATCTCACTCCTAAAATCCATAGATCTAAAATCTATTTCTAGATATTTTCTACATGTGTTTATACCAAAATACAACAAATAACATGTGGTACCGGGGTGTTCTGGGTTACTAACCCGCGAAATCGCCATTCTTTTTCTTTGATAGTTAATTTTCCCGGACCACGGCGCTACGGTCTAATATTTATCGAATTCCAACTGCCAAGAGATTTTTAGCCTGCACGCCAGTGTGTACATGGTATCTTGGTTTTTCCTCCCATCCGAAATATTATGCGTTGTTCCTTGCCTGTCCATCCGTCCTACGCCGATGACAAGAGGGAACCATGCCGGAAAATCCTGACGGACTTTCTAGGCCTACGCAGGGATCGAACAGAGGACCTCGGGGTTAGCGAACCAACGCCTTACCTAAAGATACATTATGTAAGATTTAGATAAAGAGCTGACCGTTCTTGCTATAATAGTTCGAAGATAGATCATCATGTAAAGTGGATAATTTGAAAATTTCATTCAAATTACTCTATTGCCTTTGGAGGTTTGACAAGACGTGTGCAATAATTTCAACCACAGTACTGATTGTTCGAGGCTTAGTCTCGCTCCTCCATTTTTAGATTAAATCAAAATATGTCTGAACCGTTCTAATCTATTTAATATCGGAGAAATCCGATGTCCATCGAGAGTTGATTATGTCCTGGATTAGTTAATTAATGTCTAATTATTAATTTAGAAAACATTTCAGGCCTAAAAAAAACTGCAATAGGCAGATTTAGCTCTTGTATAATGTATGTTTAATGAACCAAGAAATAAAATTAAAACAGAAACCTACCTTTATACTTTTGATCACTGATGACGTCATCCTTTAGAATTATATTGCTAGGATTTTTGATGGCTGTTAGTCCAGGGAAACGCAGAGACCTTTTCCAATTGGCGGAATCAAGTTCCACCTTGACCACCGTCTCACCAAGATCCCCTATCTTCTTTTCTATCCTTTCTAAACGGCTTTTTAATTTTGTATTTTCCTCTCGTAAATCCTGCACTGCTTGGCATCCGCAATCAGCATCGTTGGCATCGCCCGAGTCCTGTTCGATGTCCTCGTCTTCATCATCACCTGGTCTGTTCGGACTATATCTTACTTCCGCTCGCCGAGAGCCTTGCATCTGTCGATTGTCGGTATGTCTTGACATCGATGTACCTCGCGATTTGGGGTCCGCAGTCGTACCAACAAACATGGTTTTAGGGGGTGCTCGTGTCAGGTAATAATTTCCCCGTCGGGGAGGTGTCGTTACGCGTTCGTTTCTATTTCGACGTGTGGTTACGTCGAGTCGCGATTTTTGCGTGGCCCTTGTTGCTGCTTCGTACCTCGATCTTTGGGTCACCCTGGTTGCAGTTTCGTATCTCGATCTCGGCGTTGCCCTTGTTGCAGATTCGTATCTCGAGCGTGGCGTAGCTCGCGTTGCAGATTCGTAACGTGATCTAGGGGTAGCTCTGGTTTGCGCATCATACCTCGATCTAGGAGTGGGTCTGGTTGCCGCTGCGGGTTGTGCTCGAGGTGTTGCACGAGTTGCAGTTTCGTATCTGGACCTTGGAGTGGCTCTTGTTTCGTATCTAGATCTTTGTGTAGCTGGTGACGGAGTTCGTGTGGTTGTTTCATATTCCGATCGCCCAGGATCCCGGGTTACGGAATATCTAGACCGTGCCGTAGGTCTGGCAGTAATTTCGTAACGTCGTGGATCGAAGCGAGACCTATCCAAAGAACTCGTTCGATCGCCTGAACGATTCGGATCTCTTCGTCTAGAATCAGGGCGAGGCGTTTGTACCGACTTTCGGACAGTTGGACCGGGTGTTATATATGCTGATCTTGGTGTAGGTCTTGCTGTTCTACGACGTGCCGGAGTCGTTGTCAGCCACCAGGGTATTCTGGTTGTTGTAGTGGTCGGCGGTAACGTTACGACCTCTTCTTTTTCATAATCGTCGTAGTAGTCATCCTCATAATCTTCGTAATCCTCATCATAATAATCCTCGTCGTAATAGTCGTCCTCGGCATCGTCTTGCGCCACGGCCAAACGTGCACAACCTGCTACCAATATTAAAATCACAAAAGTTGAAAATCGCAACTCCGCCATATTACCTTAACGTAGTGAATCGCCAAAATACACAATGTTACAATCCGTACTACACGTTCACGTGAATCTGATTCCTATCTACATCCGTAAAACAACATCCGACAGTTAATTTGGTCCAGTCAACCTCGCGAAATCTTACCAACGACTTAATTCAAACCGGGGTTAGTATATTTATACATAAATACTCGTTGGATGATATAGTTTACAGTCCAGTTACACAGCCAACAACTGGTTTTACTATATACAATACATTGATACCCCAATACTCACGACACAAGGGTGGAGAGCAGAATGTCGTGATTACGTTTAATAGGGAGTGATTCATTTTAATATAACAGCCAATCTTCGAGGAATTCAGTTTTTAGTGTAAATATACATGTATATAATATCAACATGTATGTGCAAGGGCGGATTCGGGGAGGAGAGTGCGAAAAAACGAAATATTTATTTAAAGATTCTGATTCCGATTTTGCAATATTCCGAAAATATCGAATTTTTTATGGCATAATACAAGCAAAACTGTACTCATGTTGAACTTCGCCACGCCCCCGACATCCACCACCACCAAATTCAAAATAGAAATCGTAGATAATCTCCTGGCGTTGATGTAATCAGAATAAAAAGAGAATTATAAACCGATCAACAGATCTGGCCTAATACGTTTAGACAGAGCGGGCTTGTTTAGGTTTGTTGAAGCGGGCACCGTTTCCAATTTTTTTTACCCCATCTTTGCGGGGTTGGATGGCCGAATGGTTAGCTCGAGCGCGCTGTATCATAAGGGATGCCATTGAGTCAACTGGCGTGGTTTCGATTCCCCGGTTGTAAGTGACAAGGAGTAGAGTCGCCTGTCCAACCTCGTGGGTTTTCTCCCTGTCCTCCGGTTTCCTCCCACTGCTAAAAACCCCTACGCGCAAGCGAATTATTGAACTAAAATTGAACCATATGTTAGTCCCGAAATTACCTAGTTTGTATCGAGTGGACGTTAAACCCCATCTCTCTCTCTCTCTCTCTCTCTCTCTCTCTCTCACCCCATCTTTAAAATACTGAAAGGTATTAAACCTTTTTTGAACTGACATTCCATGGGGATATTACACGTTCACAAGGGATTGACAATCACTTAAATATCGATCCGAGGTTTATTAATCTATCTATTGTGACCATGGCAAATGACCCTTTGCGTTTGAGCTGGTCTCGAATGAATAGGCAAGGATTGGGGATAGAGTCGTACTAGCACACAGGAAATATGCCCCGTTTTGGTAGCACCCGACCTAATCCCCCATTAAAAATTAAGACCAATTCGAACGACCAATGCTCCTTTTACTTTGCGTTTGTGATGGCCTGAGAGGGGTGGTTAGGGTTTCGGAGCGCGGTGGCAAGTCGCATTAGCTTACAGGACATACCCTGTTTGAGTAGGATGTCGTACTAGCTTATATAACCTATCCTTTTTGAGTAGCCCCCCCCCACCTTCAAATATCTATAGATCCGCACCATCTAGAGGAATAATAGAGAAGGCGAGCGTGTTTTAGTAACTCGGCAAATATCATCTCTCTCTTTAACATATAAAACACCTCCACTCTCTCTATTCAACCAACATTACAACTTAGGAGGAAATCTTGTCCAGATTTGGCTTCAATGGTTGTGTTTCTGCACAATGAAAGCAGGTGGAAGCAATAAACAATAGCTAGTCAAATGAAGTCAAGTTGTGGAAATGATTATAGGTATTATTGTGCAACTTCAGCTTTTTCACGTCTCAGGTTTGAGCGACATTCTTTGTTTTACAGGTTTAAGTATTGTATTGGTTTTAATGACAAGTACAGGGTTAAACAAATTCCATGACGTATTTCACAATTATAGAGGTATTACAGATTTAAAGGGCATAGGGTTCTATTTTTTTAACCATAAATGTGTCTAGAAGCACATATTAATGTAACATGAATGTATATAAAGCGATTTATTTTCTATTTTAAAATTAAAAAAATTGCAATTTCTAATCAATTATGTTCGGTGAAATAGGTGAACAATCCAAATTGAACGACAGTCGTTTACGCCTGCTTTGTCCGTTCTAAAGGTTTTTTTTTATCATTTGCGAATCAGCCATTACTTTTTACCGTCGCATTGTGATTTATGTTATGTTTTTCTTTGTTCATTGCTTTTCCGCCCGAAAGGATATGGCACACGACCCGTGTACCATAATTTTATACGTTCATTGGTCTTAAATATTGGATGATAGAATCCCACATATTCACGGCAACATAACATCAATATGGATTGAAAAGGACCAATAAAGAATTCTAATTTGTGCTTCTAATTTCGAATATTATGGAAAATACTGAGTTAGAGACTTAGCCCCTTTAAGTATTGTACTGGTTTCAATGACAGGTCTAGGGTTAAACAAATTCCATGACATACTTCACAATTTTAGAGGAATTACAGGTTTAAATATTGTACTGATTTTAATGACAAGTTTACGGTTAAACCAATTCCACGACGTACTTCACCAATATAGAGGATTGCAAATAATTGGATTGCACAATTACTGGTTATTAAAGGCTCGAAGCTTCATTTAAACTTTAACTAAAATACAAAATTTCTCAAGGCTTAATACACGCTAAATATGTTCTCAAATTTATTATTTAACTTTTAATTCAGAAAACAAAATAATAAAACTAACACTAGAAAATCTCTTGGGCAGCCTGTAAAAGAACGGCCATCATTCAAATTTCAAAAAAAGTGAATTGGATGCACACACCGCCCCTACCTGAACAGCGAACATTTCAATTTTTTTTTAAAATAGAAAAACAACATAATTGGATGCCCACTCCGCCCCAGAATGAACGCAACTGCGCTTGTCGCAGTTGGCCATATACTTAGATCGCATTAGGAACTTGATATCACTTTAAAGTTTGCGACTTTTTGAATGCCACTTAATGTTTCCAAAGGCAGGTTTGAGTGCAGCAGTTTGAATTATTAAAACCTAGTTGCATATGTCATCAGTTTCCAGTATCTGCCCTGCAATCACTTAGAGAGAGAGAGAGATATCTGGACTAACACATGGTTCAATTTTATTTCAATAATTCGCTTGTGCGTAGGGGTCTTTAGCAGTGGGAGGAAACCGGAGGACCAGGAGGACAGGCGACTATATTCCTTGTTACGTACAATCGGGGAATTGGAACCACTCCAGTTAACTCAATGACAGACGTTATGATACAACACGGACGCGCTAACCAGTCGGCCACCCAACCCACCCAATCGAGTTAATAAACCCGGATTAAGCGGGTGAGGGGCTCGGTAGCAGGGCTGGTGGCGGAGACGAAATGAAATGAAGTGGGTTTTAATGTCCTACTGTTCTACTCCGACTCAGCTAATGAAGACGGGCATACGGTGCTATGAGATGAACTTTAGCCCGGGAAGCGGCGCCACGGCCTACTCTTATATCGAATTCTAACTACATGTACCAGACTATATTTTACGTGCACGCCAATATGTACACGGGACCTCTGTTTTTCATCTTATATGAACGGCTAGACAGCTGTCCTTGTCAGGCTCCCATCTCCTATCCCAAACGACAGTGAAAACATATTTCTATAGAAAAAATCGTAAAAGTTTCAAATGATTAAACATATTTAGATAACGAACTGGCCGTTCTTTTGGGGTTTATTATCGTAGCAACGTTACTTGTTAATCGAGAGAGAGAGATAGAGAAAGAGAGAAAGAGAGAGAGAGAGAGGATGTTAACGTAATACACGGTTCCGCAATCCGCTTGCGCTTATGGATATTTAGCAGTGGGAGGATACCGGAGGAACCAAGATCACTCGTGTTGTTTCAATATATTACTTAATGTCTCGCTCTCGACCATTAAATCACACATAAACCACAACCATAAATGAATATATGGCCCTGCCTCTACATACACACCACGGCCATAGAGGAATATATGACTGAAAGATGCAAATTATCACTTATTATCTTTTTATATATTTCTTTAATATTAATTTCGTTCCACAATATTTTGGTCTAAGAATGCATAAATTTTGATCAACTTTAAGCGAGAAGGTAGTCTAGATTATTTAGGCCTGTCATTGTTTTAGTTGACTTAATTTGCGCCTGGATGTAGGAGACTGTTATTTAATTGACAACTTGTTCGCTTAAGCAAGCGTGGTCTTCAGCACCAGTTTTGTAACGCTTGGAGGGCATAAAACACGGTAAGATGAATTACCGCAGCATATTAAGTTATAGTTTAATCTAATCCATAAGTTTTGTAATGTGTTATAGTCATATATTGTTATTATTCGATGATATTGACAGTCGACATGCATGACTGATTTATCACGTGGTTGTGCAGGTCCCAGAAAATTCCAGGCACTCATGCTATTTTATGTTTCTTTATTAAGATAGTTTATTGATAATTATTGTCAGGTGCTTGATTGGTTTATTTATCCTTTTAAGTCAATCACCACCACCACCTCTACTCTAATCACCATCACCACCACCGTCATCATTATTTATTAATATGTAGCCTATGTCTCTAGTCTTGAAAGATCTTCGATCAACTGTATAAGATTTTGAGATGTATTAAACCTGTTACCAAATTAAACAATATCCTAAGAGTTTTGGTGCATTGTTGTTTGTGCCCAGGGCTGTCGGTAATTTTTTACAGTTGATTAGCAAAAAGTCCAATTTCGCCAAATTTGATTAGCAAATTTAAAAATTGATTAGCAGTTTTTCAGTTTCAATGTAAAACACCTAAATAACAAGATATTACTTTAATTCATAACAAATATGATTAGATTCCATTCTGACTATTCTTAGATTTTTTAGCACTGCCACAAGTACTTGTGACAGTTTGTGAATGTGATGTAGAAATTTAGTTAGGTCTTATGTCTGAAGCCAATTCTTGACAGTGACTTCCGAAGCCCCACTCATTTTAATTGTTATTTTTTTGTTACGTTAGAAATCTTCGTTAGAAAACAATTTCGTCTGCTTTTTATCGTGTATTACTATTTTTCTTCAATCGGACACACCTCGATTAACTAGACACACACGATATAAACAATAATGTTTTACGGGAATTTTTACTTTGATTTATCATTTTACAATACGTTAACATGTATTTATTTTTTTATATTTTATTTACAATACGTGGGGGATACATTGGATTTATTTCTTTCAAAATGAATATGATATAATTACTTGATGTCTCGCAACGTGAGTGGTACTACTTGATTCCCTATTTCCGGTTTAATAGTCCCTATTCATAGAGTTATGTGTTATATAGTATTGTGTCTGGTAGTTCGAGAAGAAAATGTCACACGGAGAATTCAGTTTTGTTTATAAAATTTTATTCAACATTTTATACACGTTGAAAGTGTTGAGTAAGCCTTCTAGTCTTCAAAATGTGGATTATTCTTGTGTCAATATCCAAAATGACAGGCATATTGATGATTCGCAGTAACTGCGAATCAAAAACGTTAGATTTTAATTTTTGGTTAGCAACGGACAAAATATGTATCGCAAATTGCGCTGCGATACTGGTTGTCGGCAGCCCTGTTTGTGCCCTACATCATTGACGTGTTAGCTGTTCAACATGCAATCTACTGGTGCTAGAGACCACAAGTCAAGTGACAGTTGTGCTGATATTGATATACATGTACAGAATCAAGTACTGGTAAATACACTGTTTAAAGGTTTGAAAAGAGGTGTGAAAGACATTAATCAATTGATTTTTGATAATGCAGAGATTGCAACTGTTAGAAAGCATTACTCTGAATGGATGACTCTTTATGATAAATACTTAAGCTGTCATGATGCATATTGTTTACATTTATCTAATGAAGATAGAGCCACATATTATGATAATTTCTATGAAGATCGTGATGTGTATTTATCAAATTTTATGTCTTCAACTAAAAATTGGTTTGTTCAAACTGAAGGCATAGCTACACCTACAAAACCTGTATGTGCGAAAGAAAAATCTGTTCGTTCGAGTCATCGTTCTTCACATCGTAGTTCATCACATCGTAGTTCTTCACATCGTAGTGACATTTCCACGGCTATAAAGGAATATATGTCTCTATATATACACCACAACCATAAATGAATATATGGCCCTGCCCCTACATACACACCACGGCCATAGAGGAATATATGACCATGTCTCTATATATACACCACGGCTATAAAGAATATATGTCTCTATATATACACCACAACCATAAAGGAATATATGACTCTGTCTCTATATATACACCACGACCATACAGGAATATACATGTATGACCCTGTCTCTAAACTTATTTTTGAGCAGCAGTCCCCAGGTTTTTTTTATAAATCTTACATAATGTATCTTTAAATTATTTTATTTCTAATTCTGACTTCAATGTCTTGTGCCGAGTTGAAGAAAACAATACACCACAAGGTTAAAAGTTGTTAAAACTAGCCAATAGACAAGAGTTGATATGAAGTGTCAGATTTCTTATTAATTAATGTTAGAGACTTGAGATACTCATACACGCCCCCCTTTCCTGACTTCAAGATGAAGACATGGACTCTATGCGGGATATTATTTATGAATATTATTGTTAAACAAGGTAAGAGTTAATTCTGATTAAAGATGCACTGTGTAAGATGTAGATAAAGAGCGGACAGTTTTCACTGTAATAGTTAAAACATAGATGATGAAAAGATACGAAATTAATTTCAGTCAAGTTACTTCATGTTCAGCGAAGTTATGGCCGTTTGAAGGGCAGCGTAGTCTCGATTCTCATTGCTAAAATAATAAAGTCGCGATTATCCATTTTTTAATTAAATTATTAATTGCCAATCGTGTTTAAATCCATTGAAAATCAAATCCATCCTATAGCCAAGAGACGGCTAGGCATGTAAATACATGTCTAATTAATGACATTTGAGGACAACAGAAAGCTCTGTAGTACCCACATTTAGCCCTTCCATAATGCATCTTTAAATTACAAATTCTTGAAGTTTAAGCCATTCGAATTTAATGGAGCTAAATCCCTTTCGGTATCAATCAAAACTGGAACGTGTGTCGACTTAGATTAGTTATTTTAGATTCATTTTAGAAAATGAAATTGGGATTAACATTCTACTTATCTGACCCGACTCGGCTAGGGAAGACGGGCATACCCCTTCGAGCAGGGGCGTGGTGAGTCATGATTTTAAATTTTTGAATAAGGAACAAGATCCCGTCTGCCCTCAAAAAACAATATTTATATGTGTGTGCGGGTGAGGTGGGGGGGTCCTCCCAGGCGATCCTACGCCTTGTTACGTACAACCGGGGAATCGAAACCACGGCAGTTGACTCAATGACAGACCTTATGATATAGTCATGAAGAATCGGGAGCCCTCTCAACTAATGAAGAATCTGATTGAAGAATCTGATAGGCTCTTAAGCTGGGTCAGCATCCATTCGAAATTAGTGTCGAAATATGCATTGTATTACGTGAAGATGATTAATATAGGGCTGCCTGCTAATTTGTTTTCCTCAAGACTGCGAGACCTCCATCAGGGCAGGAAGTAGTGATGGGTGCCAAAACCACTTTGAACAAATATGGATTATCAAACATTTGTTTGCAACTGATCCAGTTTATGAAATGAAATGAAATGAAATGGGGTTTAACGTCCTACTCTTCTGCACCTAACCTGGGCTAATTGAAGACTGGCATACACCATACAGTGTGCTATGAGGGAAATTTTGCCCGGGCAGGGCGCTACGGCCTACTCTTATATAGAATTCCAACTGCCAAGGGATCTTTTACGTGCACGCCAATGTGTACACGGGACCTCGGTTTTTTGTCCCATCCGAACGACTAGGCAGCTGTCCTTGTCAGGCCCTCCGTTCTGCATTACTGACAAGGGGAAACCACGCCGGAAAATCGAGATGAACTTTCTCGGCCAATGCAGGGATCGAAGATCCAGTTTATGTGCATTGCATCTAATTAGCATAAACTATTTCCAAACCAGACAGACCCCCTCCCAATGCCATAAATACACGAAAAAATGAAATGAAATGGGGTGTAACGTCATACTGTTCTGCTCCGACTGGGCTAATGAAGACGGACATACGCCATGCAGTGTGCTATGAGGGAAATTTTGTCCCTGCAACGGCACTATGGCCTACTCTTATATATAACCGCCAATGGATCTTTTACGTGCACGTCAATGTGTACACAGTTTCTCGTTCAATGCGAACGACTAGACAGCCTGTCCTTGTTAGGCCCTCCGTCTTGAACCACTGACAAGGCCAAACCATGTCGGAAACTCCCGATGAACTTTCTGGGCCAGTGCAGGCTAGCGAGCCAGCGTCAATTACCCTCCGACCGACCGGGACGACGTCCTTATTGCGCTGCTAGAGCGACGAAAATGTTCTCAGAGCGCGTCAAGATCGCCATAAACGTGGTGGAAACGCCAGTTATCTTGCTGTGTTCTCCGTGGTAGCCAATGATCGCCAAGTCACGGCATTAGTTTTCAGCTTGGTAACATCTTCATGAACGTAGTACACGCGCAGTATACACGTGGCAAAGACGCTGGGGAAATTGTAACATTTGCAACGGCGACTTCATTATGAAAGATGTAGATAAAGCGCGGACAGTTTTCAATATAATATTTAAAAAAAAAAACATAGATGATGAAAAAGATACGAAAAAATTTCAGTAAAGCTACTTCATGTTTAGCGAATTTGTGGCCGTTTGAAGGGCAGTGTCGTCTCGATTGTCATTGCTAACACGTGACAAAGACGCTGACAAAATTGTAACATTAGCAACGGCGACTTCATGGCGTCTTCACCACGACCCTCGCGTGTCTACCACACCAAGCGTTCGGAGTCCTTATGGCGTTGTCATGGCGATGTTACGACGATTTCATCACTGTTGCGCGATTGCACCGCACCCTCATGGGATTCCGACGGGATGTGATGACGATATGGATGTAGAACGACAAATTATTAATGAACATGTGGCATCGAAGATAAGTGCAACACCAACTGAAGACGAAGATGATGGAGAAGATACAGTGTCAAAAGATTTAACGCATGACAAATATCTACACATATTACATGATTTGAAAACATTCGGACAAATTAAAGACAATGGGTTGATGGATAGCATTAGAAGACCGAGTTCAGGAATCTGCTTTATGATATTCAAACCAGATCCAAAACAGCCAACTTTAGATGATTATATATATTCAAAGTAATCGTTAATGTATTGTTATGTTACAATGTCTTGTTCTGCTATTGTTTGATATAATGTAATAAAATTTTCAATGTTCAGAAAGGTTTATCGTATTCTAAGTTCTGGGTATTCGAGGGTGCTTTATAATAATACTTCCGGTATTCGAAGGTACAATTCATACTTCCGTTATTTAGTATTCCGTCATGCTGTATAATCGGTCATATTGTATCGACCCCGTACGATGTCGGAAGTGAGAGAGTCCACTGTATAGTATTATCAGAGATTTTGGAGTTTGGTTTCCTCGTGTCGGTCCAATATAGCCTACCTGGCTGACCCGAATTCCAAACAACCAATCAATCGTCGCGGGGTATGGGGGCCTTACCCTCCCAGACAAAATTTTGAAAATTCAACCACCGCAAATGCGTTTTCTGCTATTCTAGCCCGTGAAAGCAGCTCCAAGAGTATCCAATGGTTTTGTAACCAAAATCCCATTCTGAATTCCAACCATCCAATCAGACTGTTGCAGTTGCATTCACAAATAATAATCGATGCCAGAAAAATGTCGCACGAAGAGTCGCTCTAGACAAAATGTTTTAATCCATAGTCAACTAAGTACAAATTCGTTGTATTCAATTAAACGAAAAGTAAAATTAGTGTTTTATTAGAGATCGATGACAGTTAGAGAAGCAAAACAAGAAATACCCGAAAAAATTTCAGGTTTACAGACAGCGGCGCCGGTTTTCTTTGAGAGGCGAAGAAGCGAAGCTGACCTTGTATGGACCCCCCCCCCCCCCAAAAAAAAAATTTTTTTTTTGGAATATTTGACGGTCGCAAGTGCGTTTTAGTGCTATTCCAGCCCATAGAATTAGTGTTTTATTGGATTTCGGGAACTTTATTATGAAATAAATTTTTATTTTCACTTTACCCGTCTGCCCGAAAATTCAGCTTGCCCGAAAGTTAGGGGGGCAGCTGCCCCCCACCCCTGCCCCCCCCCCCGGCTCGTACGCCTATGTCAGGCGTGTTCAGGAATTAGAGCACGGGACGGTCCAGGTGAAGACCGCGTCAAGTTATGCACGCAGTGTGCGGGAATACCGGGGAATTTTACTAAATTGGAAGCTGACTGAGACAATATTTCTGCTCGTTCAGATGCATACATGTATAGGAATTTAATATAGTGGAATTCACTGTATGAAGGAGGGAAACTCTTTGCCTGGACAAAATACACCTGTTGAGCCTATATCAGTCCTGTAAAACTTTCAAATCGTTTTCCCCAGTTCCGCGTATCCATTTAGGAAGGATTTGTAATTCTGTACTGTTTCGTATTTTACAGTGCTGACTGATCGAGTAGTGAATGAAGCTATTAAACACGAAACTAGACTTTATAATGATTTATTTAGTAATTATGGTAGAGGCTTAGTACCAAGGCAGAATGAAACAGGCTCGGTAACTATCGAGCTGGGAATTGAATTAAGCAATAATATAGACATGGTAAGTACTGTAGTAAGTTTGTAGTGATATTTGTCCTAAAGGTTTAAGACTATAAAGTCTGGTTCCGACCTCTTTCGCCCCAACTTTGAAAATGAAAGGGTTAGGGATGCAATCAAATAATGTCCCTTGGATGTTAGGAATCGACAGGAGAATAGCAAAACCTACGGTCGATCAACAACCAAAGCATGGGGCTGAAATGCCACGGGTTTGTATCCGAGTTTGCCACACCCCAAAACCTCTTCTGGGGAGGCAGATGTCAAAGATTATAGTACAACCATAAACCCAAAACGCGTAAGGTCAACGAGTCTAGATTGAATATACTACTGGGAAGACTTACAATCAGTACATGGAGAGTACTAAAATACTGGGAAGACTCACAATCAGTACATGGACAGAACTAAAACACTTGGAAGACTCACAATCAGTACAAGGACAGTATTAAAATACTGGGAAGACTCACAATCAGTACATGGACAGTACTAAAATACTGGGAAGACTCACAATCAGTACAAGGACAGTACTAAAATACTGGGAAGACTCACAATCAGTACATGGATAGTATTAAAATACTGGGAAGACTCACAATCGGTACATGGACAGTACTAAAATACTGGGAAGACTCACAATCAGTACATGGAGAGTACTAAAATACTGGGAAGACTTACAATCAATACACTGACAGTATTAAAATACTGGGAAGACTTACAATCGGTACATGGACAGTACTAAAACACCGGAAAGACTCACAATCAGTACATGGAGAGTACTAAAATACTGGAAAGACTTACAATCAATACACTGACAGTATTAAAATACTGGGAAGACTTACAATCGGTACATGGACAGTACTAAAATACTGGGAAGACTCACAATCAGTACATGGACAGTACTAAAATACTGGGAAGACCGATAATTATGACTGTCTGTTTTATCAGGATGAAGTTAAGGAACGGCTGGGTGTAACTGCCATACTCGTGAAGATATGGACGGATGAGAGGCTAGTGTGGGATCCCAACAGATATGGCGGAATTTCGATTTTAAAAATTCCCGCATCAATAGTGTGGTTGCCCGATATTGTCTTATCCAACGGGTGAGTGACAATCATCATCATCATTATCACTGACATCATCATCATCATCATCATCGTCAGCGACATCATCATCGTCATCGTTGTCGTCGTCATCATCGTTGTCGTCGTCATCATCATCATCATCATCATAATCGTCGTCGCCACCATCATCATCATCATCACCATCATCATCACTGTTCTGAGTGCAGTCACTGTCCAGAATACCCCATTTGCGACAAATGATCAAAGGATTTTGAACCAAGATTCACAGATAGATTTGGGTTGCATTTTCAAAGTCTTCATATGAATATTCGGCTATATACTGATTAATTAATTATTTATATTAAGTTTACTGAAAATTGTAATTGTAATTGCATCCTGAAAATATATATATGAACAGATTCGGTTTTTTTAAATGTGTTTTCTTTCTGTTACAGGGTGGGGGAAGAATATACGTTCAACAACGATAAAGCTATTTTGTATAATTCCGGAAAAGTGTCTTGGATGCACTCTGTGCGCTTATCGATCAAATGTCATATAGATTTAATCAAATTCCCATTTGATACGCAGACTTGCGTGTTTATATTTGAATCATGGATATATCACGGAAACATACTTAATGTGACGTATTTACGTGGTGACGCATCAAAAGCGTTTTACGTTATTGGTCGCAGTAGAAATAGTTGGAAGATAATTAACAATACGGCTCGGCTAAAAGAAACATATTATTCCTCTTATACTTCCGAGCCAGACCAAACTATGGTCTTTACTGTGGTACTTGAGAGGAAGCCAATATATTATATACACGTTTATATTCTACCTGCTGTTATCTTGTCTTTACTGATTCCATTTCAACTTTTTCTACCACCAGAATCAAGAGAAAGACTCACGCTTGGTAAGTACAAAATGACAAGAGAGAGAGAGAAATGGGGTTTAACGTCCACTCGACACAAACTAGTTTATTTCGGGACTAACGTATGGTTCAATTTTATTTCCATAATTCGCATGCGCGTAGGGTTCTTTAGCAGTGGGAGGAAACCGGAGGACCCGGAGAAAACCCACGAGGTTGGACAGGCGACCCTACTCCTTGTCACGTACAACCGGGGATTCGAAACCACGCCAGCTGACTCAATGACAGACGTTATGATACAGTGCGCACGTGCTAACCATTCAGTCATCCAACCCCCCACAAAATGACAAAGCTAAACTAACGATCAAGCATGCTCGATCGCTAAGTCGACATGATCTGACCATTATTGTAACGATATAACATAGTGTTTTACGTTTCCACTGTTAAAGAAGCCAAGTTTTCTCGTGTGTCTGTTAACCGAACGACTAGATGCAGTTCCCTGTCAGCCCAACCTTTCTTCATCTGCCCCTTGCACTAGCACCGATAACAATCACGGTAAAGACTCCCCAGGAACCTTAATTCTCGGACGAAACAGGGATCGAACCGGGTATCCCGTCGTTAGTGCTCCCGCTTTCTAGTCGTTCGGATTGGACGAATCATGATCCCGTGTACACATTGGCGTGCACGTAAAAGATCCCTTGGCAGTTGGAAATTGATATAAGAGTAGGCCATAACGCCGCTGTCCGGGCAACATTTCCTCAAAGCATACTGTATGGCGTATGCCCGTTTTCATTTCATTTCTATTGTTTGTCTGTTTCAGGTTCCGTATTGATATTATGTAATATATTGATGATATTCAAGCTACAAGAGATTCTACCAAAACAACTTTTCCGTCTTCAATTACTTGGTAAGATTTGAACCCAGTCATACGGCTTTGCAAATAGATCAAAAGTCAACAAATCCACAAATAAACCAAAGTAAAAAAAACCAGCCACAAATAAATCAAATAGACACACAAATAAATCATAGGTAAAAATGAAATGAAATGGGGTTTAACGTCCTACTCTTTGCTCCGAACTGGGCTAATGAAGACAGGCATACGCCATACAGTGTGCTATGAGGGAAAGTTTGCACGGACAGCGGCACTACGGCCTAGTCTTATATCGAATTCCAACTGTCAAGGGATCTTTTACGTGGACGCCAATGTGTACACGGGGCCTCGGTTTTTCATAGATAAAAAACCACCAGGGGCGTAAATGTGGGGGGGTATGAGGGAAAGTTTGCCCGGACAGCGGCACTACGGCCTAGTCTTATATCGAATTCCAACTGTCAAGGGATCTTTTACGTGGACGCCAATGTGTACACGGGGCCTCGGTTTTTCATAGATAAAAAAACCACCAGGGGCGTAAATGTGGGGGGGGGGGAAATAGTCGGTCGCAAAATCAGTGCAGTCGGTCGCAAAATAAGAGCAGTCGGTATGAAAATAAGTACTCACTGCACACGTCACGCTACTCACGCAAAACGTTAGTATAAAATAACCTTGTCAACTTATCATGTTTGAAAAAATGATGTGTTTCACTCTTATTCTGTTGTGAGTATGTAGGTCTAAGAACAAAATTTCCCCCAGGGAGTAAAATAGTCGGTCTCAAAATAAGTGCAGTCACTGCAGTCGGTCTCAAAATTATGCATTGCCGTCTTAATGAATTAATGAGGTAAACAAATAATGCCAGAATAGATCCCAAATACTAGTCGGTCGCAAGATCAGTGCAGTCGGTCGTAAGATATGAGCAGTCGGTATCAAAATAAGTGCTCACTGCACACGTCACTCTACTCACGGAAAACTTTAGTATAAAATAACCTTGTCAACTTATCATGTTTGAAAAAAATGTTTTTCACCCAAAGGCAAAAAAATAGTCGGTCTCAAAAAAAAGTGCTCACCGCAATCGGTTCCAGACTAAATGAATTAATGGGGTGTTTTCTGACCATCAGAATTCTGCAAAATCTCTCCCCACAGTCCAGGGCATTTCAGAGACCAAGTAAGCGCCCCATTGAGGTAAAGTGACCTCAGGCCCAGTCCTCAAAAATTAAAAGCTCAGTTACATATCGGCGCTCAATTCCATTATGCCATCATTCTTCAACTCCTTCTCTGTCTTATACTATCTCATCACTATCATATTCACAGTTACAGTGAATCACCCAGTTAGTAGTACCACTAGTGAGTGAGTCGTGGGTCAAAAGACTGTAGAATTGTTAGTTCTACTCTCACAAAACAGACGACATTGACAAATAGGCCTCAAGATTCTGTCCCATTTCTTATCCCCTCGGTAACGAGAATTTGGATCCATTTGCCATGACATTGACTAAAATTGTCAGGCCCAGTCCCAAAAATTTAAAGCTCGGTTACACATCTGAAATTTTTTCGCGCCTGCTGCGCTCGATTTCATTATAACATCATTCTTCCACTCCCCTGTTGTCTTATACTGTCTCAGCACTATCATATTCACGGTTATACTGAACTGCCTAGTTATGTTAGTAGTACCACTAGCACTGGTGTGTGGGTCGTGGGGCGTCAGACTATACACAAGTTTTGTCAGCTCTTGCAAAACAGGCGGAATTGACAGAGACGGATCTTGAGATTTTGTCTAATTGACTCACATTTCTCCCAGCAATGACCTCAAATGCCAAGATATTGACTCAATTTTTCAAAATTTTCTCAGATTGCTCAGTGTTATAGGCACAATCATATATGACATTATATAATTATAAAATACCATCTATGTTCTACCGGGGCGCTTAATGTTATAACCTGCAGTATTTTGTTGACATTCATTGTGGGGTGGGATTGTGGCTGGGGTGGCGCCCTAGATTTGGACCCCCTCCCACCCCTATCTAGATCCGCTACTGCACATGGCCCCTACAAAACTCGCACCTGTGGTGCTCGGCTCCTGACTGCGTCACTCGTACTAGGGATATGGACATCAGTCTGTCGCATTTTGGCTAAACACCCCCCCCCCAAAAAAAAAATCGTTATGTACGCCCCTGAAAACCACACACAAATAGTAAAGAAACCTCATAAATAAATCTAAAGTAAAACACGTGTAATACATCAGTACTAGGAATTTGTGTGTTCTTACCGCATGCGTAATGCGTAGAACGTACTACGTGCGAAATTCTGCATAGACTATCCTTATATGCCTGTGTAATGCGATTGAAATGCGAAGTACGTACATAATGCATAGCAGGTAGTATGCGGGTATTGCGTGTAAATCGTGTAGTTTATGTGTGATTTGGTTTCATATTATTGGTACACTTTCTGATTTTAGATAATTCGTTATTTAAACATTCGGTTCGAACTAGCAGCTGCACGTGGCATATAAGAGAAAATGACGTGGCAACAATTTCAAAATGATACATACCTTTATCAATTGCCCTTTACACCCGATGAAATATATTTTCAGGTGTTTTCAAATGATAGATATTTCCATGTTGTTGTTGTTGTTTATTACAGATTTAACGTCCAATACAATAAATTCTTAAAAACATAAAATAAAAAGGTCCTCGGATGTCAAAAGTTACTTAAAACTCACTTATAAATTCGCTGTTGTATGAAGAGAGGGCGGGTCATCTTCTCCCTTTGTCATAATAAAGTTAAAACAGCGGAAACAGTTATGTTGGGAAAAAGAATCATCTGCTTTATGTAGAAAAGCGAAGTGCTCGCTGTAAAAACCACATAGCTGGACCCGTAGATTATTTGCATATTAAAAGTGTTTATCCAACAGGTTCCATATGGTTAAAATTAGTTAAAAGTTCAAGACTTCAAAGTTTAAAAGTTATAGACATTCCATTAGAGTTTTTCTTGCTTACGGATCTCCACAGATAAAAGTTGTCTGAAAAGAAAAGAAAAGCCAGCAGCAACACACAAAAATAACAATAAAACAAATTTCCCATTATATCCCATGAAATACAATTCAAGGTATTTCCAAATGTTAGATATGCCCATGAGTTATTGAGCTTTACATTCTATGAAATATATTTTCAGGTGTTTTCTATACTTTGAATTTGATCTGGTCATTTTTCGCTTCACTAGCAACTATCTGTGTTCTGAATGTCCATAACAGAGGACCTAGACAAGGCAAGGTGCCCGAAATCATTAGATGGGTAAGTGAACGATATCATTAGCTAGGTGAGTAAACGATATCATTAGGTGGGTAAGTAAGCGATATCATTAGGTGGGAATGTAAACGATATCGTTAAATTGGTAAGTAACCGATATCGTTAGATGGGTTAGTAAACGATATTATAAGATGGGTAAGTTACGATATCATTAGGTGGGTAAGTAAAGGGTGTCATTAAATGGGTAAATAAACGATATCATTAGATGTGTAAGTTAGTGGTATCATTAGATGGGTGCGTACGATATATTTAGATTGGTAAGTAAACGATATCATTAAATGCCATGGGTAAATAAATGATATGATTAGATGGCTAAGTAACCGATATCATGAGATGGGTAAATGAACGATACTATTAGATGGAAAAGTAATCGATATCGTTAGGTGGGTAAGTAAAGGATGTCATTACATGGGTAAGTAAACGATATTATTTGATGGAAAAGTAATCAATATCGTTAGGTGGGTAAGTAAAGGGTGTCATTACAAGGGTAAGTAAACGATATTATTTGATGGGTAATTAAACGATATCGTTAGATGGGTAAGTAAATGAAATCATTAGATGGGTAAGTAAAAGATATCATTACATGGGTGCGTTTGTATTAGTTAGATGGGTAAGTAGGCAAGCGGTATCATTAGATGGGTAAGTAACCGATATTGTTAGATAGATATCATTTGATTTGTAAATAACCGATATCATTAGTGAGAAAACAATATCATTTGATATGTAAGTAAACTATATCATTAGATGGATATGTAAGCGACATCATTACATTGGTAAGTGAACGATATCATTAGATGGGTGAGTAAAGGGTGTCATTTGGTAAGTAAGTAAACGATGTCATTATATGGGTAAGTAAACGATATCATCAGATGGGTAAGTAACAAATCGCATTAGATGGGTAATTACATGATATTAGATGGGTAAATATCATTAGATGGTTAATTAAAATATCATTAGATGGGTAAGTAAACGAATCATTAGATGTGTAAGTAAACGACATCATTACATGGGTAAGTGAACAATATCATTACATGGGTAAGTAAACGATATGATTTGATGGGTAATTAAACGATATCGTTAGATGGGTAAGAAAATGATACCATTAGATGTGAAATTACACGATATCGTTTAAATAGGTACGTAACGTAATTTATCGGTGATTTGTTTGTTGCATCTTTTCATATCCTCCATTCGGGAAGTTCGTTAATAGTGACCTTTCACACTGGTACACGGCTGGATGTGTGCCGAACAATGGTTTATGTTTTTTGATGCATATACTGAATTTTCCAAATTTTACAATGCTACTACGTCGTCTTCTTCGTCTTCTTCTTCTTCTTCTTCTTCTATTATATTCAATTGCCTAAGATTTTACGACGCCGCGTTGATTAAACATACATTATGCAAGAGCTAAATCTGCCAATTGCAGGTCTTTCTTTAGGCCTGAAATGTTATCTTAATTATTAATTAGACATTACTTAAAGGAGCTAAATCGTTAATATTTGGGACCTAGAAATTGACAAAAATATTTCGCAACGCATAAAATATTGTAATATGAATGTATATAATCTGATTTACATTCAATCGTTTCTGTTTTCACTGTAATTTCTAATCAGTTATGTTCCACGAAATACGCCAGAAGTCTCATGTGAATGACAATCTTTAGCGTCTGGTTTTTCCAGTCTACTTATTGCGCATGCTCTCCAGATAAGAATACAGCGTCACCATTTGACACGACTTGTGGAATATGTCTAGCCTTGTTCTTTGAGCCCCATGTTCCAAATGGCGCTGAAACGCATTATGGTACACGATTCGTGTACCAATGGTAAATTGTTTATTTTGTCTTGAATATTGGATATCAGAAGCCCATCTTTTCCCTTTTAAGTCACAAAACCAATGTTGATTTGAATTGACAAATAATTCGTGTTTTCAATGTCGAAGATTTTTGATGATATTGAGTTAGAGACTTAGCTACTTTAACTTATCCAGACCATATTTAACTCTCAATGGCATCGTAGCCTACGATATTTACTGGATTATAACCCGGTCTGTTGCTTCTGATTAAATAAAAAAAATTACTTTAGTAATGATGATCGATGCTAAGACCAAAATTCAATCGCTGAATACTCGGTTCAGGGTGGATCAATTTAACTAAAAAATTTCCGCAAATTCCCTTTGCATTATCTAGTTTTTAACTATTAGAGTGATAACTACCAGCTCTTTATCTAATCTCTCATAAAGTATATATAATGCGCTGAAACACGAAATCCTTCTTGATTCCTTTTATATCTGTCAAAAATATATCCTAATGTTTGTGTGACCACCTAGTTGAATATTTATTCATACTGTATAATAGGAGATATTCATTCCAGATTTTTTTACGATGTCTAAAACGTATCGTGTGTTTAGGAAATGACCCATGTTATTCAGCTGGTAGTGTTTCAATGAAAGGCTTAGAGAATCCTATGTCAAGCAGCTCCACTGATGGACAGAAAGCGAGTGAAACTGAAAACGGTGAGTATGCCTACATGAAACAACCATACACAATTTAGGAATAACGATTACGTTTTAGATATTTATGATAAAGGATTAGCCTGAATCTAAACCTAACCCTTATCTTACTCTAATGTAGTTACAAATAGCTGCACGTTTAACTTAAAAGCTCCAAATTGTCCAGAATAATCGACAAACATAGAAGTCTCACCATAATTGACTAACCGTAAGATGCAACGTTTATGGATATAAGGACAATATGCCATACAGTATTCTATGAGGGAAATCGTACCCGGACTCGATTGTATTCGCGAATATCGAGGACACGATTGTATTCGCGAATATCGAGGACTCGATTATATCGAGGACGCGATTGTATTTATGAATATCGAGGACTCGATTCCATTTGTAAATATCGAGAACTTGACTATTGGGGACTCGATTGTATTCGTGAATATCGAGGACTCGATTGTATTCGTGAATATCGAGGACTCGATTGTATTCTCGAATATCGATAACTCGATAGTATTAGTGAATATCGAGGACTCGGTTGTACGCGTGTCTATCGAGGACTCGATTGTATTCGTGAATATCGAGGACTCGGTTGCATTTGTAAATATCGAGGACTCGATTGCATTTTTAAATATCGAGGACTCGATTATTGTCGTGAAATCGTGAATATTGACGGCTAAATTGATATTGTCAAATTTAAATAAAATAACAAATAAATAGATAATTAAAAATTACGAGCCGGAAAACGGGAATAACATTAAAGTAAACGGGGAAATTAGTGGAGATAACTGTGTATTATATTTTGTAGGATCAAAGTTAGAGACTGATGTTGAAGATTTAAACAGACAAATTCGTTTTTTTACAAGACGTGCCCGTATGAACGAAGTAAAAGAGGAGGTGGTTGGTGAATGGCATCAAGTAGCTCTTGTAATTGATCGTGTTATTTTGTTCCTCTTCCTACTTTCTATTGCTATATATACAGCTGCTCTACTGGGATAGGATTTATTGTATATTGATATAAACAGTTGCTCTACTCTGATAGGATTTATTGTATAGGGATATACTGTAAACAGTTGCTCTACTGGGATAGGATTTATTGTATTGTTATACAGTTGTTCTGCTGGGATAGGATTTATTGTATTGTTATATATACAGTTGTTCTACTAGGATATGATGTATTGAACTGTTATATATAAAACTGTTCTATTTGGAAGGAATTTATTGTATTGTTATATATAAAGTTGTTCTAATGGGATATTGCGTATTCATATATAGGGTTGTTTTACTGGGATGGGATTTAGTGTATTGTGATATATACAGTTGATTTACTTGGATGGGATTTAGTGTATTGTGATACATACAGTTGTTCTACTGGGATGGGATTTATTGCATTGTTATATATACAGTTGTTCTACTGGGATATGATTTATTGTATTGTTATATATACAGTTGTTCTACTTGAATAGAATTTATTTACAATTTTATAAAGTTTGTTCTGCTGACATTCATTGTCTGTAAACGTATGTATTGATATAGTTATTCATATTTTACTAATGTAGTTGGATTGGGTTTGAAATAAAGACACCAAAATTCTTGATAAAACGATATTTTGTGGCGGGAAACGTTTGATATATCCGACATCGTCAACTTTTAAAAGTCTTCATCACAAATATGATATTCAATGTAATGTATGTTCTGTTATTACTGGCATTTGCAATAAAGAGAGATAACTCCTCTTCTCACGATTCATTGTGTAGCCATGTCCTATATGTTTTGATTATTCATGGTTAAAGATACATTATGCAACAGCTAAATCTGCCAATTGGGGGCCTTTCTTTAGGCCTGAAATGTTATCTTAATTATTAATTAAACATTAATTAACTTATCCAGACCATAATCAACGCTCGATGGCGTCGCTAGCCTGCGATATTTACCGCATAAGAATCCGGTCTGCTGTTTCTGATTAAATCAAAAAATGGATAATCGAGACTATTTCTTTAGTAATGATGATCGAGAATAGGTCCAAAACTCAATCGCTAAATACTCGGTTCAGGATGTATCAATTTGACTGAAATTTTCAGCAAATTCCCTTTACATTATCTAGTTTTTAACTACCAACCCCTTATCTAATCTCCCGTAATGTATCTTGCAACTAAAATTGAACAAAACGGTATTCATGGCCAAGGCTGAAGGCAGAAGGGTATTTTCTTAAATATTCATTTGTTTGTCAACGTTAAAATTTACAGTTAACCATATAGCATTTGCTTGACAATTAGACGATCTTGATCTGGCCCTATACCTAATTTCGCTCAGTTAGTATGACGCTGGCTCTCCAGTCTGAGGGTCACGTGTTCGATCCCTGCCTTAGCCGAGAAAGTTCATCGAGATTTTCCGGGGTGGTTCTCCCCTTATCAGTGGTGTAGGATCTTGGTCCGGCATAGGACAACGTATAGTCGTTCGGATGATATGAATAAAACGAGGTTCCGTGTACGAGGTTCCGCGCATCTAAACAAACTATACATTTTTGGAAAGCTTATAAAAACGAGAGAGTTTAACGTTCTACTGTTCTGCTCTGAACTGGGCTAATGAAGACGGGCATACGCCATACAGTGTGCTATGAGGTCAATTTAACCAGACAGCGGCACTACGGCCTACTCTTATATCGAATTCCAACTGTCAAGGGATCTTTTACGTACACGCCAATGTGTACACGGGTCCTCGGTTTTTCGTCCCACCCGAACGACTAGACAACTGTCCTTGTCAGGCCCTACGTTCTGCATCGCTGACAAGGGATAACCACGCCGGAAAATCCGGATGAACTTTCTCGGCCAATGCAGGGATCGAATAGTAAGTTATATCTTACGAGTACAAATGACGTCATGTGTATATGTTGTTATATCTTGGAGTATAAATGACGTCAATATTGAAGTACACCTGTTTTTTTTTTACCCTCGAGGGCACTGTCCAGTTTACGGAGGCATCAATGACCCAGCAAATAAAACTGCATAATAACACAATTGTAAAGTAGAAATTCAAGAGCCACTGAAATGCAATGGGGTTTACCCGTCTACTGTTCTCTATCAAGGGTATTCAGGACCCGGATCTTACGACTAGAAGCTACCCGGGCAACATTTATGGCATATTTCAATTCATATATTTCAATTCACATATTTTATTTCAAATATTTTATTTCAAATATTTTATTGCAAATATTTATTCACATTTTTCAATTCACATATTTTAATTCACATATTTCAATTCACATATTTTATTTCAAATATTTTATTTCAAATATTTCAATTCACATATTTTATTTCAAATATTTTATTTCAAATATTTCAAATCACATTTAATTCACACATATCAATTCACATAATTTAATTCACTTATTTCAATTCACATATTTCATTTCACATATTTCAATTTTCAATTAACATATTTTAATTAACATATTTTAATTCACATATTTTAATTCACATATCTGAGTATATGGAATAGACACAGCCTGTCTAAGAGCCATATCTTATATTATAATTTGTTGACTCATTTCATACGGGTGTAGGGATATAAATGAAATATTACACAGATTAAATTCATGTCAGTAGAAAAACAGTAAATCCTATAAATACTATGGATCCTGTGCAGTAGAACAACTGTATATATTAAAATACAATAAATCATATCCCATCAGGACAACTGTATACATAATAATACAATAAATCCTATCAGAGTAGAACAACTGTTTATATCAATATACAATCAATTCTATCCCAGTAGAACAACTGCATACATGAAAATACAATATACAGTAGAACAATTGTATTTACAGTAGAACAACTCTATACATAACAATACAAGAAATCCTATCACATTAGAACAACTGTATATATCAATATACAAGAATACCTATGTCAGTAGAACAACTGTTTGTATCGATATACACTAAATCCTATCCCAGTAGAACAACTGTATATATAACAATACAATAAATCCTATCCCAGTAGAACAACTGTATATATCAAAATACAATAAATCCTATCTCAGTAGAACAACTGTATATCATATCAAAATACGATATACAGTAGAACAACTGTATATATGAAAATAGTGAACATGAAAAGAAAAAAGAGAACACGATCCAGTACAAGAGATACTTGACGCCATTCACCAAGCATTTCCTCTTTTACTTCGTTCGTACGAGCACGTGCTGTTAAAAGACACACCTGTCTGTTTAAATCTTCAACGTCAGTCTCTAACTTTGATCCTACAAAATATAATATTATAGAAATGTATACACAGTTATCTCCCTTATCTTCATTTATTAAAATCACAAACATTAGACCATCATTAATATTCCAATTGACTTCAGGGTTAATTCTGGTCTCAAGCTCCAACTTGTTCCCAAATTGGACTGAACGCATGTCTTTGCGTCAGATTTTGCACGAGTTTGACCAAATAAATTGTGAAATACACACACATAAAGTACATATCGCATGCTAAAAACGAGAAATTATCCACCGTAACCAACCTCAAAAAGAGAGATTAGTGTTTATAAAGATTAGGATCGCCGAATTGTGCGAAAGAATTACTGGTCTGAAACCAGAATAAGCTGCCTTCTGTTCAATTTAATCGCAGTGTATACGTCTGGTTTCTATATTGGATTTTTATTTGGACGATTGGCGTGTTCGTAAAACAACCATTGACAGTTGGAATTATGCATAAGACTAGGGAGTAATACTGCTGTCCTCATAGCATACTGTATGGCGTAGGCCCGTCTTCATTAACCTAGTCGGGGCAGAACGGTAGGACGTTAAATCCCATTTTATTTTGCATAACTCTAGCTTCTCTATAAATTACAATTAATAAAAACGATTTTACTCACCATTTTTACCGTCTCTGTGTCCATCATGTTCTGTGCTTAACCCAGAAGGACTTGCAAAGTCTTTCATTGGAACACAACCAGTTGAAATAACCGGATAGTAATTGTCATTTTCCAAACACACGATAGGTTTCAGACAGCTTAAGAAAACCTGAAATGTCAGAGGAGGGGAAAGTTGTTTGCTTATGCGTGAATTAACAATATCACGCAAAGAAGCAACAACATTGTGTTAGATGTACTACATCTTCAAAAATAATATCGGGTGTTCTAACAAAAATAGTAAACATACCATGTTCCGTGCACGTTAGCGTACATAGACTTGCATTTACAGTACACGATTAATCATGATCTGGATGGTGTCATGTTACATTCACACACTACTAATAGATTTCAATAGTTTCATGTAGAAACTAAATTGTGGAGTTCCACAGGGATCGGTCCTTGGACCTGTTCTTTTTATAATGTTTACCAAGAATGTAAGACAACTAATCGGTAGCCATGTTATAGGACGATATTCTTGTAAAATACCTTAACAATTCTGACATAAAATTAAATAATAATAGGAGCCACGGTGGATAGATGAGTAAGACTCTGACTCGCTAGTCTGGAGGCCGAAGGTTAACTCCCGCTGTTGGCCGAGAAAGTTCATCGGGTTTTGCCGGCGTGGGGGGGGGGCGGCTGACAAAGACAGCTGTCTAGTGGTTCGGATGGGACAAAACACCGTGCAAGTAAAAGATCCCTTGGCAGTTGGAATTCGATAGAAGATTAGGCCGTAGCGCCACTGTCTGATGTCCCTCATTGCACACTGCATGGTATATGCCCGCCTTCACTAGCACAGTCGGAGCAGATCAGCAGGGCATTAAACCCATTTGATTTCATTCCACAAAGCATTTTCAGACCTAAGTTAAGAATTTACTCATCTTTCATGTTTATAAGAGATATTTTTTATCTAGAAACACAAAACATTGCACACAGTTTTTTATTGATGAATTTGATACATTAAAACAACAGTTTTATAAAGGGCTATATTTTAGTTAAAATAAGGCAAACGGTTTTGAATATATTCTTAACTTACGTCTATGGATGCTTTGTGAATAATGATAACAACAATACTAATAATAATAATAAGAAGAATGCCCAATTGTGTGAATTATTAGCGCTATATAAATGTGCATATTGTTATAGTATTACTTACCGATCTAATGATATCGGGCACCTTGCCTCGTCTAGGTCCTCTGTTATGTACATTTAGAACACATATAGTTGCTAGTAAAGCGAGGAATGACCAGATCAGATTTAAACTATAGAAGATATCTGAAAGTATTGCATGGGATATAAAGGGCAATAATTCTTGTGACACTCAAGCAAAGTGTCTTCTATGTCACTTTCGGATTAGGGTCCGAAATGTATAGCATGTATCAGCTTTTAATCTTACCGAGTAATGATAGCGTCGCATGTTGCATTGGTAGAACATCTTGAAGTTTGAATATCATCATTATATTAGCTATTATCAATATAGAACCTGAAACAGATAAACGATAGAAATTAAATGAAATGAAATGGGGTTTAACGTTCTACTGTTCTGCTCCGACTGGGATACTGAAGACGGGCATACGCCATACAGTGTGCTATAAGATGAGGGAAATTTTGCTCGGAGAGCGGCACTATGGCCTACTCTTATAGTACATGTGACCGATAGATTTTCATTACCAATTTGATGAATAAATTTAACTATGGTTTTCAGTTAACCTTAGGTCTAAAGTGTCCAAAATTGGTTGATGGACTTCCGGACATGTGAAATGAAATTAGGTTTAACGTCCTACCGTTTTGCTCCGACTGGGCTAATGAAGACGTTCATACGCCATACAGTGTGCTATGAGAAACATTTTCCCGGGGCAGCGGCCCTATTGCCTACTCTTATATCGAATTCTTTTACGTGCACGTCAATGTATATACGGGACCTTGGTTTTTCGTCGCATCCGAACGGCTAGACAGCTCTCCTTGTCAGGCCCTCCGTCCTGCATCATTTACAAGGGGAAACCATCCCGATGAACTTTCTCGGCCAATGCAGGGATGTTAAATAGTTGTAAAATGAAAGTAGCTGTTATATCAGTATATGGTCTCCTCATCGACTTCAGTGTTGAATCACTGACATTACCTGGCCTATAACAGTTTCTTTTTGAAAATTCCCATGATCTTATTCTTTATAACCTCAATGAGTACAATATATATGTCACAAGTATCGGATAATAAGACTGAAAGAGCTTGGTCATTTCTATTTTTTGTTAGGTCAGAATCTATAGGCAGTGATGTTATTTTTGAAGGTGATCACGCTAATTCATGTCTGTTAACTTCCTTATACTTCCGCCCAAAACTCTCACAGAAAATAGAAATTCATACATTCTTCGTCGATTATAGCCCAACAGAGTCAATGGGAAATTGGTTTAACACCCAATCGACACAAACTAGCAAATTTCGGGACTAACATATGGTTTGAATTTTTATTCCAATTATCCGCTTGCACGTAGGAATCTTTAGCATTGGGAGGAAACCGGATGACCCGGAGAAAATCAACGAAGTTGGAAAGGCGACCCTAATCCTAAATTGTCACCCAAAAACGGGAAGTGGAAACCAAGCCACTTGACTAAACAGAAATTGCCGTGGAAAAGGGTACGAGGGGTGGGGGTGGAGGAATAGCATGGGGGCCGACATATTTTCATTTTAGTTATTTTAGATTTAAAGGAGTCAAATTACTTATATCTGGGACCTAGAAATTGACACAAATGGTTCGCACCGTATATAATAATGTAATATGAATGTATATAAACTGATTTACATTCAATCCTTTCTGTTTTTACTGTAATATCTAATCAGTTATGTTCGGCGAAATACGTCAGAAGTGTCAACTGAATAACAATCTCTAGCGTCTAGTTATTCCAGTCTACACCGAAAGTATTGATTGCGATTGCTCTCCAGATAAAAATATGGCGTTATCGTTTGACATGACTTGTGGAATATTCGTGTACCATTGGTAATATGTTTCTTTTGTCTTAAATATTGGATATCGGAAGCCCATCTTTTCACGGAAAGATCACAACATCAATGTTTATTTACATTCACAAAAAATTCGTGTTTTCAATGTCGAAATTTTTGGACGATATTTAGTTAGAGACTTAGCTACTTTAAACTAAACATAAAAGATTTATGTGGTCGGGGAGCCACGGTAGCTAGTTGGTTAAGACGCTGGGTCGCTAGCCTGAAGGTCGGGTGTTCGATCCCTGCATTGGCCGAGAAAGTTCATCTGGATTTTGCGACGTGGTTTCCACTTGTCAGTAGTGCAGAACGGAGGGCCTGACAAGGACAGCTGTTTAGTCCTTCGGATGGGACGAAAAATCGAGGTCCCGTGTATACATTGGAATGCACGTAAAAGATCCGGTCAAAATTTCCCTCATAGCGCACTGTATGGCGTATGCCCGTCTTCATTAGCCCAGTATAGGAGCAGAACAGTAGGACGTTAAACCCCATTTCGTTTCATTTATGTGGTCGCTTAGATGTTTGTCATTTTGTACTTACCGAGTGTGAGTCTTTCTCTTGATTCTGGTGGTAGAAAAAGTTGAAATGGAATCAGTAAAGCCAAGATGACAGCAGGTAGAATATAAACGTGTATATAATATATTGAAATCCTCTCAAGTACCACAGTATATACCATAGTTTGATAAGAACAACAGCTGTAGTGTTTGACCTTTAACCCGGCCGTATGATTTACTAACATCCAGTATTTTCCACTTTCATCCATCTCAATTTCGAAGGCCAGTGCTACGTCATCATTGACATACGTCATATTAAGTGTATGCATGTGGTGTATGGATGATCCAAATTTGAATTTACAAGTCTGATTATCAAATGGGAATGTTGCTAAATTTAGGTCACATCGAACCTGCATGCGCAATGACCGTATCCATCGGAGCTTTCCGGTGTGTTCAAGAAGTATTGTGTCGTCGTGAAATGCTTGTTCTTCGCCAATACTGAAACAGAAATAAACATTTTAAATACAATTGGTCTAATATCTTCCAAGACGCAGCATCATTTATTGCCTCCAGAAAGGGGGGTTGGACGGCCGAATGATTAGCACGTGCGTGCTGTATCATAAGGTCTGTCATTGAGTCAACCGGCGTGGTTTCGAATCACGGCTTGTACGTGACAAAGAGTAGTGTCGCCTGTCCAAACTCGCGGGTTTTCTCCGAGTCCTCCGGTTTCCTCACACTGTTAAAGACTCCTACGCGCAAGCGAATTACAGAAATAAAATTGAACCATGTGTTAGTCCCGAAATGACCTAGTTTGTGTCAAGTGGACGTTAAACCCCATCTCTCTCTCCTCTCTCTCTCTCTCTCTCTCTCTCTCTCCAGAAAAAAAGGAAGACCCTTAGCTTACCCCCTCCCCCTTCAAACATATTCTTATAAAATATACAGTGGCTCTATCCTATATTTGTCTGTCTAGATGCATATTAACTAAGTGTGGGTATTTTTTGTAGAATTCACAATGACTTTGACTTTGAGTCCGACAAGGACAACGACAACGATGACGATGACGATGACGATGACAATGACAATGACAATGATGAACTGACCCGTTATATAAAATAATATCTGGCTTCCACAAGTCAGAGGCTGGAATTGCTAACGTCTTAATATCTCCATAATCTGAACTGTTCCATCTCAACCTTCCATCCACCCATTTCTGCTGGAGCATGGCATTTACATCCAGTTGTCCCGACTTGACATCCTGATGGATAAAAAATAGATTTAGATTAAAACTTGACAATTAGAATACATACTACTTGCGTGTCGTACTTGGCCCCCCTCTTAGAATACGCCCACACTCCCACAACCTGGCCTTGTGACGTCGTTGATAATGAATTTGGAGGTAGCGGGAATGGCTTGCTGTTTTTTTTTCAACAAGGTACAGTCTATGTTTTTAATGTAATATAGGACATTTCTAACTCACTCCGTGTTTCTTAATGTTAATGATGACTTTTGTTTCGTTCGCCTTACACAGAACTAGATTTCTTACTTTCTAGAATCCCTTTTAGAAATACTCCCGCGGATGACCAATCTGATTAAAATACAGATCTATATTTCGTTTCGTTTTTTATACTTTCGATGGCTTACACTACATGAAGATGTGACCATTGCTTTGGTAGGACGCGTCAGAGATCATACGAGCGGTTTTTGACCCTATGACATTTGATTAACCAATCAGCATTGATGTTTTTAGTGGATTACCCACAGCTCCGTGCACCTCACGCCAAAAGCTGACCGTAACAGATTGTTTCATTGGCTAAACCCTCACATTATGCAGAATACGTCAACGGTAACAACTCTTTTTCACCAGATCCTAGTGTAGTAAAAACAAGCAAAACGAAATTTTAAACTGTAATAAACGAAACGAAAAAGGATCTGTGTTTTGATCAGATTGAGGGATGATCGGCATGATGACAACACTAGGTCGATCAAATTCAGACCCTTGTTGAACTTGAAGTCAGGTTTCCTGAAGGTATGGCCTAATGAAGCAATGAGATTATTTCGAAACAAACTTACCATACTGATTAAACCAGTTAATCTTAAACCTAGACCCACAGTTACCGGCCCTGTTTCATCGTTCACTGGTATCACATGGACTGCATAACCACTTCTAAACAGAAGATCTTCAAATAGTCGACGTTTGCTCGCTTGATTGGCTATGGCCCCAGTCAATACTGAAAAATACAGATTCTGGTTTAACCTTAACCCCGACCAAATGTAATAACTATCACATTTCACTTTACCCAAGTCATTATGTGTGTGCGTGTGTGTGTGTGTGTGTGGGTGTGTGTGTGAGAGAGAGAGAGAGAGAGAGAGAGAGAGAGAGAGAGAGAGAGAGAGAGGATATGAGGTTTAACGTCCATTCGACACATAAACTATGTCATTTTGGGATTAGCATATGGTTCAATTTCATTACAATAAACCGCTTTCGTGTAGTGGTCTATAGCTTTGAATGTCCTAATCGGAACCACGCCACTAGGTTCAAATGACCTGGCAATAGGGGGCAGACAGGCGACCGGTTGTCTGTGAGCCTTGTACTATGGGGCGCTCTAACGATAGCGGGTATTGGAGCCCCTGGCGCGATAAAAGAGACCGTTGCACATTTATCGAGCATGCAAGTCTTCAAAGGCCCTGCTGGTCAGTAGTACGTTAATCCCCACGCCACCTCTCTCTCTTTCTCTCTCTCTCTCTCTCTCTCTCATTATTAGTCAAGGTCGGACAGAGTAGGAAATTATTCACCATGATAGATTAGCCATATTAAGTCTAATGTATTATTATAATTGTATGTCATATATAATTGCGCAATTAAAAACCAATTGTCCCCTTCACATTAAGCTAGTTAATTCGTGTTAATTCTCTTTCTCACACAGGAAATCAAATGATATGGTGTTAAATGTCTTACTATTCTGTGCTTATGAAGACATGCGTGTTATAATGTACATTTTGCACGAGCAGCGACTCTACGGTCTATTTTTGTTCCGAATTCCGACTGTCAGGGGTCAAGGGTCTAATGGAAAGTAAGATTTAACCCCCTAAAAACAGTTTCCATGACATACTCTAGAAAAAAATTCCAAACCTCTTTTGAATTAAATTTTAACAATGTAAGATTTAAGGAATCGATATACCACAAACACCTTGGTCTTATTTTACAAAGTAATTGTCAGTGGGATAACCATATTGAATATGTAATATTTAAAGTTAAAAGCTCTATTGACTGTCTCCGTGGCTTAAAATATCGTATTTCTCGTAAGTCTTTAGAGAGTATTTACAATGCATTTATTTTGCTCTTATTCGAATACGCTGACGTCGTTTGGGACAACTGTAACAAATTTGAGTCCCTAAAATTAGAAAATCTCCATCTAGATGCACTGAGAACGATTACAGGTCTTGTTCGAGGCACTTCCCATAATGCACATTACTATGAATCTGGATATAACCCACCATCAACAAGACGCATAAGGCACAAGCTTATTTCTTATGTATAAAATCACCCTGCACGTTTCAAGTCAGTAGCTTGAAGCGTATATATGGTATTAGTGTCAGTGGCTTGTGGCACGAAGTAACAGTATATTGTCGCATACATAATATATTATGTCAACGCTTGGGCGACATAATATATTGTGTTGACGCTCCAAGCGTGTTAGCATATTAGACCTGTAGACTCAGTGGAATGTACGCGTCATCAGAGCGGATCCAGGGGTTGGACCATGGGGACCGGTCCACCCCCTTAACAATAGAAAGTGTCCCTGTAAATAAAAGAGGGCATCCTTATCAGAAAAAGGGCACCTGTGATGTCAGAATTTCAAAAAAGGGCACTTTTCTTTCGGATTAGGGTTAGGGTTAGGGTTAGGACACAGAAAAGAGAGAAAAAACAGAAAAGAAAAAAACAATCGAAACTTACCGATTCCATGATGGAAAATACCGCCAAAATATGTCTCCAAAGCATTCATTGGTTATCAAAGCGCCAATTAAATCTATCGTTGCAAGTTCATGCCTAGTCACCTCCATCCTAGTTCCAAGCGTTGACATAATATATTATATCGCCCAAGCGTTGACATAATATATTATGTATGCGACAATATACTGTTACTTCGTGCCACAGGCCACTGACACTAATACCATATATACGCTTCAAGCTACTGACTTGAAACGTATCGCCTGATAAAATGGTCAATGAATTGGTCCCCCCCCCCCTTTCTTAAGACTTCTTCTAGTACCACCTAAAATTTGTGAAGTAAATCCTTACCCTGTTCGTAATAAGAATGAATTGAAAAATATAGCTTCTAACACTAATTATTATAAAAGCTCATTTTTGCCTTCAACAGTCGACCTTTTGAACAGCCTTTCTTACGTTACGCAAAACGCCTCCACTATACAAAATTTCAAAATTAAGATAAGCGTGAACGATCATAAAATACCCAAATATTATTTCTATGGAGAACGTAAATTTCAGATTATACATTCCAGACTTCGCAATTGTAAAAGTGCTCTAAACTTCCATAGATTTTTAATGCATATTTCACATAATCCGACATGCAGATCTGGCCATACTCAAGAAGACAGTGACCATTATTTTCTGTACTGCCCAAATTATTCGTCTCAGCGTATTTCAACATTAAATACCCTCCCATTTAAATCCATAAATACAAAAGCGTTCCTATATGGCGATCCCAACGAAAGTAACTCGTACAACGAAGTGATTTTTAGTAATGTTCACAAGTATTTAAAACTAACCAAGCACTTTGAATAGATAAGGTAATTGGCTGGCGACGATGATTGATGTTAGATGGTGATAATGATGATGACCATGATGATGATCATGAAGATGATTCATTCATTCATTTATTTATTTATTTATTTATTTGTATAAATGTAAGATATAATACCTTTGATATTTGTACATTTTATCAATGTTATTGAAATTTACAATTTACATGGAGATGAATTTATATAAGCTATGGGTTGTTTTCAGATCCACAATATCAGTATTGAAATAATCATGATAGAATAGAAATAAAATATTGTTTAAACCAAAGGTCTACACGACCACAATCCGGTATATTGTATCCGATATTCCAGTCCCCTATCTACTCGACCACAGCCCGGGACATTGTATCCGATAGTTGCGTCTACTGGGAATTTATATCCGATAGTCAAGGTTCCTATCTTTCTTCGCCACAACGTCTAACATAGCTTCGTAATATCCGTACATGACTAGAATAATTGCTGCTAAGTTAAACATACATTATGCAAGAGCTAACTCTGCCTATTGCAGGTCTTTCTTTAGGCCTGAAATGTTATCTAAATATTAATTAGACATTCATTACCTTATCCGGACCTTAATCAACTCTAGATGGCATCGCTAGCCTGCGATATTTACTGGATTATAATCTGGTCTCCTGCTTCTGATTAAATCAAAAAATGGATAATCGAGACTTCTTTATAGTACTGACTTTAGTAATGATGATCAAGGGTTGGCCTAAAATTCAAAAGCTAATATCTCGGTTCGGAATGGAGCATTTTGACTGAAATTTTCAGCATATTCCATTTACTTTATCTATTTTTTAACTATTATAATGAGAACTGTCAACCCTTTATCTAATCTCGCATAATGCCCCTTTAACGAGCTTTATTTACTAAAATATATTTTGATGGCACCTTTAACCTTTAACCGTTCAGAATTTTGAATCATGTAAGCTGGATAACCAAATATAAAACTTACCTTGGGTAAGAAAAATATCCATCAATAAAAGGCATAAAGTAGAGGATTTCATCTTGGACACCATACAAGTTGATGGTTATGACGATACAGGAGGATGGGTTATTCAAACGACAATTAGAGAAGGTGATTGTCATAAAACAGCAATTGTTCATAAGAGTCCGATGTCGTAGTAGCCAATGGGGACGAGTATCAGTCAGCGCTGGATGATGGTTAGCGAACGATGGTCTCCTGCACTGATCACCAAACAGACGGTTATCACAATACGAGAACGATTATTAAACGACGGCTACACATGAAACGACAATTATCAACGAGAGCATGTTGTGGTCACTAATCATCGGAAATCGGAACTTGCTGTTTATCACCCACTTCACATAAATTATATAGGTTAGAATACAATTACTGCTTATTACTGAGCGACGTTTCGACTAGCCGTCTCTAGTCAATATCAAGCATAATGCAATATGAAAATGTAATAAGACAATAATACATGTACACAACAATACTTGGTTAATGCTGACCAACCAGAGATGTACTTGAAGGGAACCTATGTTGTTGTTGTTTATTAAAGATTTAACGTCCAATACATTAAATATGTTATTATTGACAGGTTGATTTAATTAAAATATTAAAACTCAAAATTGGTAAAATCACAAAATAAAAAAGTTCGTGTATATCAAAAGTCACCTTAAAATTGGTAAAAACACAAAAATAAAAAGTACTTGTATATCAAAAAGTCACTTTAAAACACACTTATAAAATCGCTATAAGGATTATAATTAATGCTAATAACAACATTCAATACGGTATATAGACCACATTACCTGAAATTAATACAAATTAGATTAATGGATAACTTGTTGTGGAGTATATACAATGATTTGGTCATGTTTTAATAATCACAAGCGCTGAAAGAAGATAAAATTTGATTAACTTTATCAACGACCACTTTAGCTGAAATTAACACAAATTGATTAATGGATAGCTTGTTGTGGAGTATTTACAATGATTTGATCAGATTTTAATAATCACAACACCCTAAAAAGATAAATTTGGTTTTATTATCAACGAAAAATGTTGATATATGCATTTTGATATAAATGATTCCACTTAAATACGAAAACCCTTAGAACAATGACTGCACAAATCACCAATAGTCGCCTGAAGGCCGACTTTTTGAATTAGTGAGAAGTATTTACACTGGATGCTATAGTGATTTAGAAAGGCAAGTTTTGAACTATTATGTGGATTGAATTTATATAACAGCAGGCCTGAAAAGCAAAATAATAGCCAATTATTAAATACCAGTTTTTTTTAAAAAAGAAGAAAATAAAAAGGGATTATTGTAATCATTACAAAATTTATATTAATGATGAGTAATAATCAGTAATTGGATTCCATAGAATTGTGACCTGTATATGCCAGTTCAATTACTAAATGCTCTTGAAACAATTCATATAAATTGTTTCATTGACATTCATTAATTGAACTGGAAATATATACATGTCAGCCCACTCATCAAGTCTCTAATTGGTCATCATTAATCACGTTTTCTGTTTACATGTATTATAAATTTTACCATTGGGAGCCACAGTGGCTAAGTGAGTTAAGACGTTGACTCTCTAGCCTGGAGGTCGCGTGTTCGATATCTGCATTGGCCGATTAACTTCATCTGGATTTTTCCACGTGGTTTCCCCTTGTCAGTGGTGCAGGGCGGAGGTACTGATAAGGACAGCTGTCTAGTCGTTCTGTGTACACATTAGCGTGTACTAAAAGATCCCTTGGCAGATGGAATTCGAAACGTGTAGGTCGTAGTATCGCTGTCCGTGCAACATTTCCCTCATATCACACCGTGTGGGTATGCCCGTCTTCATTAGCCCAGTTCGGAGCAGAACAATAGCACGTTAAACTCCATTATATTTCATTTCATTTCATTTAATCTGAAGTTTAACATTTACCTTTGTAAATAACTGTTCCTATATCTGGTAAATGAACAACTATGTTCATTGTGAATTGATGATTAAAATGGTCAGTATTATTGTATTCATCGGATTGCAGCTGTTATAGTGTATTTTTGTATATATTTTATTATATAATTTTAGTTACAGTAGAAACTGACCAATGTCCGAATTGATATCTCATTAATCTTTCAAGCCTTTTAACTGTTTGGGTTTAAACTTAATGTAACAATATATATTACGTAATTATAGTTAACACACGTTCTTCCTTTGTCGATATCATCTTCTGTATTTAAACACCTGTTTCCTATGTACAAGTTAACATTTCTGATCAAATATATGATTATTTTAATCCTAAGTTTGTATATATGTTCCTTATTCTACTGTAAGTTTAGTCTGGTGACCGGCTCCCGTTATTGTGGCCTTTAGCCAGTTTTGGACACTCGTTTATTAAAGTACAGTCTTATTATTTATTCCGAGTTATCGTCGTTAGTATTTGAATAAGCTTCAGCCCCAGAAAACAGCACGTCGGCACAATTACTGCACTCAACAACTTTCTACAACACATCCGTCAAATTACGAGTATATTCCCAATTCCAGAATCCAAAAGTCCTTAGAAATACGAACAAATCTTGTCAGTTGTCATTTGTCGTTTCTGTAATCGAAATGCGTGACCCCCGAGTTCGTAAGCAATATATATATACTCGTTTCTGGTGAATTTTTCATTCTAATCTTTTAGCTGTCTTCTGTGACTGCTTCCGGGGTTACCAAAGGAACCTCCTGATTTCGATTCTTTTGTTCGCAAAGAAGGTTAGTTGCTCGTTGTTTTTTTTGTCAGTAAATTGCTTTCCGCTTGTAAGTGATAGAGAAGCGAGAAACATAAAAAATGTATGGTCATTCGGTTGGTATGACAAACCGAGGTGAAGCCTTGTACTCATTAGAGTTCACGTAAAGGAACCCTTGTCAGTTGAAGAATAGACGACAACACGACCATTCAGGCAAACTCTAATATAACCTTTCTATTTGGAATTTTTAAATCTGCTAACTTTCTGTTTATTTATAGCCGGCATGGTTTCTCCTTTGTCAGAGGTACAGGACTGAGGGCCTGACAAGGGACAACGTATAGTCGTTCGGATGGGAAGAAAAACTGAGGTCATGTGTACACATTGGCGTGCACGTAAAAGATCCCTTGGCAGTTGGAATTCGATATAAAAGTAGGGCGTAGCGCCGCTATCAGGGCAAAATTTCCCTCATAGCACACTGTATGGCGTATACCCACCCCCAGTAGCCCTGTCGGAGCAAAACAGTAGGACATTAAAACACCATTTCATTGTGTATGCTATAGCCTGAGTTTACAGACACAAATGATGACGTACTGCTTTCAACACTTTATTCCAGTATATACATTATAATAAGAACTAGAATTGTGTATCAAGGTCTCGCTTCTCATCTAGAGCTCCAATCTGATTAAAACACAAATCCTATTTCGTTTCGTTTTATAGTTTCACTTGTCTTTACTACACTGGGATCTAGGAGAGTTGTTATATAACCCGCGTTCTGGATGATGTAAGAGATTAGCCACTGAAACGATATGTTGCAGGGAGAGGGACCTACATAGGCTAAGCCTGTTCCCCAATCCCATTCAGACAACCTGAATAAAAATGTTGTTTATAAAAAAAAACCACTGTGGGTATCCTACTAGAAACATCAACGCTGATTGGTTAACGGGGTCAAAAGCCGCTCGTAAGTCTCCTGACGCGACCTCCCACGAAAACTGGTCAGATCTTCAAGTTGTAGACGCCATCGAAAGTATAAAAAAACGAAACGTAATATAGATCTGTAATTTAATCAGATTGCAAGAGTTGTATCTTATCTAGACTATATTTCATTTATACTGTTTATGTTTCATACTATAATTTCTCATTCATTATATCATAAATTACATTGAATTGAAGAACGCATTAAATAATAAAATCTTGTGGCGGGAATATTCTGCTCTTACTATTTGACATTCTATATGGATAGTTGAACGTGCGTTAAGTATTGTGATGCTTTTGAAGTAATAATTGTAGATGATATAACATATAATAATATACATAAAATACAATAAATCCTATCCCAGTAGAACAACTGTATATATCAATATACAATAAATCCTATCCCAGTAGAACAGCTGTATATATATATAGATATATATATATATATATATATATATATATATATGTATATATCAATATACAATAAATCCTATCCCAGTAGAACAACTGTTTATATCAATATACAGGAAATCCTATCCCAGTAGAACAACTGTATATATCGATATACAACAAATCCTATCCCAGTAGAACAACTGTATATATCGATATACAATAAATCCTATCCCAGTAAAACAACTGTATATATCAAAATCGTGAGCATGAAGAGAAAGAAGAGAACACGGTCCAGTACAAGAGATACTTGACGCCATTCACCAAGCATTTCCTCTTTTACTTCGTTCGTACGAGCACGTGCTGTTAAAACATGCAATTGTCTGTTTAAATCTTCAACATCTGCCTCTAACTTTGATCCTACAAAATATAATATTATAGAAATATATACACAGTTATCTCCCTTCAGTTCATTTTAAATAAATGAAATGAAATGAAATGGCGTTTAACGTCCTACTGTTCTGCTCCTAACCTGGGCTAATGAAGACGGGCATACGCCATACAGTGTGCTATGGGGGAAATTTTGCCCGGACAGCGGCACTACGGCCTACTCTTATATCGAATTCCAACTGCCAAGGGATCTTTTACGTGCATTCCAATGTATACACGGGACCTCGGTTTTTCGTCTCATCTGAAGGACAAGACAGCTATCCTTGTCAGGCCCTCCGCATTTTAAATAAAAGAATTACTCCTGATTATAGAAATACAGTGGACTCTGTCACATCCGATCTCTGATCACTCCGGATTGCTGTGACATCCGGTATGATTTTCATGTCCCGATTTATTTCCTTATTACTTCAGCCAAAAAATCGCTGGTAAATCCGAATTTTGTATGTTCCGGATTCCGAAATCAATCAGCCGTCCCGTCACATAATTTCCATTGAATCGACACCGTATAATCCGTACTTCAAACGGTGGGTGTGAAGCATCCAATTATCGGTGAGATTAAAACACAATGGGTGTAAAGCCAGAAAAGATTAACAAGTAATCACCAATCAATTATCGGTGAGATTAAAACTCGCAAGAGCCGGTCTGTGTTGATTACTTTGATCGGTAAAGCAGTTAACCCGAGATGTTTTAAGGGAGTGGACAAGATCAACCTGCCAGTCAATTGGTCGGCCAATCGCAAAGCTTGGATGACAGGTGCCGTTTACTTTGATTGGCTTGAAAAACTGGACATAGAACGACAGATTATAAATGAACACGTAACAGAGTGGACAATTTCGTCTGCGATATCACTTATGTGGAAGCAGACGTTAAACACCAAGAACTACTACTACTACTACTAGTGGACAATTGACTGAAGACGGGGACGATGAAGAATATACATTAACGACAGACTTGACCTATTCAAAATTCCTACGCATGCTCAACGACATTAAACACTTCGCACAGATTAAGGACGAAAAGGTGATCGCAACAATTCATTTGTTAGAAGATATGCTTCCGGTAATCTTAAGCAAACTACTTTAAACGATTACATGCATTGATATTTATAAATATATTGTATGCATGCATTGATATTAAATGTAAACGATTTTATGAATATATTGTACGCATGTATTGTTATTGGTAATTATTTAATATAATAAAATTTTGAAAGTACAGAAAAGTTTATCATTTATAAAGGCAATAGCATTCTGGTGATTCGAAGCTACAATATAAAAATACTTCCGGTTTTCGAAGTTAGAGTATTTCCGGTTTTGGAGAAAGCTCGGTATTCCGAAACGCTGTGTGATCCGAATTATTGTAAGGATCCCGTACGATGTCGGATGTGACAGAGTCCACTGTACATTGTAATCTGGCCACAGATCACCAATGATTTCCCAATTGACTTTAATGTTAATTCTCGTCTCTAACTTGTTTAAATTTTCATTGGGTAGAACGCTTTCTACCGCAGATGGAGCAACATGTGGCAACCTCTTGCTCAAAAGCACGTATGGGATTCACCATGGAAAACTTTGGATACACAAACTAGAAGTAAAGACCAATTTTCCACCCTGCATTTTAACCTAACCAACCTCTTAACTCTTTTATCCTTCCGCCACAAAATCACGAATATTCACCAAAAACCTGGCAGAAAATGTATTTTCAAACACTTTTCTTCGATTCTACACCAAAAGGTCAACAAAAATCGTCATGCAAAATACCATAATCCGCTCTCGATGCCATCGTTAACCTGCGATATTTACTGGATTTGAATATATTTTTTTATGGATAATATAATGTAAAAACGGATAATCGAGACTTTGTTATCATACCAACGTCAGTAATGACGACCGAGAGTCGCCTAAAATTCAACAGCTAATATCCCGGTTCAGATGGAAGCAATTTGACTAAAATGTTCAGCATATTATTCTCTTTTCATTTTTTATGTTTTAACAATTATAGCGAGAACTGTCAACTCTTTATCTAATTTTACCCAATGCCCATGTAAGATAAATAATGTACGATACACATATGGGCCACTCGGCAAACCTCACTAGATTCCATTACTCTACATCTAGCCTCGGCTGTATGGCGGTATGTGATATGTACCTACGTCTATACAATTGCGATGCGGCACCGGTTTACTTATTAGGAAAACTTGCCGCTTTTAAAAAGAAGTTATCAAAATTGCGTCCTTCGAAGCGTGTGCAGAATTTTCAATGCAAAGTTGTCCTTGTTTGAAGAAAACCGGATAAACTTGAAAGAAAAACAGCTTCAGACTTTGAAATATTTGTATGATAAAACATTCTTCAAAGGCGTCGTCATGGGCAACGCCTTTGGTAATTCGGGAACTTGAAAGTATTTCCAATGGTGGACTTCGTAATACAGTCGAGGCTAGATGTAGGGTACTGTAATCTGCTGAAGTTTGCCGAGTGACACATAGGCTAATTGTCTCCTATAATTACCGTTGTTAGTTTCTTTTGCTTTCTGTCCATCAGTCGAGCTGCTCAACATTGGATTCTCTAAACCTTTCATTGACACACAATCAGTTGAACTAAGTGGATAGTAATTGTCATTTCCCAGACACACGATCCGTTTTAGACTTCGTAAGAAAACCTGGAATGGCAGAAGGAGAAAATGATTAATGGCATTTTTTGGTAAAGTTCCGTTTTTGAAATTTGTTTTTTTACCGACACACAGAACAAGTGTATTATATTAATTTCAAACAATCTACCCCCAAAAATGTCCTGGCCGTTTAATGTCTATCAAACAAATGGAATATGGGTGCTTCCATTTTAATAAATAGCGAACAAAATCTGTCAGCCCGTTATTTCGATAGCCCGTTACCCCGTATCTGTTACTTACCCATCTAATGATATCATTTACTTACCAATCTAATGATATCGTTTACTTACCCATATAATGATATCTTTTCATTACCTATATAATGATATCTTTTCATTACCCATCTAATGATATCGTTTCATTACCCATCCAATGATATTGATATCGTTTCATTACCCATCCAATGATATCGGTTCATTACCCATCTAATGATATCGTTTCATTGCCCATCTAATGATATCGTTTACGTTGTCGATCATCTAATGATGTCGTTTACTTACCCATCTAATGATATCGGTTCATTACCCATCTAATGATATCGTTTACGTTGTCGATCATCTAATGATGTCGTTTACTTACCCATCTAATGATATCGTTTACTTACCTGTCTAACGATATCGTTTACTTACCCGTGGCATCTAATGTTGTTTACTTACCCATCTAATGATATCGTTTATGTTGTCATCTAATGATATATATTATTAACACATCTAATAATATCGTTTATGTTGTCATCTAATGATATATTATTAACCCACCTAATGATATCATTTACTTACCCATCTAATGATATCATTTACTTACCCATATAATGATATCATTTACTTACCAATATAATGATATCGTTTACTTATCCATAAAATGATATATATTATTAACCCATCTGATGATATCATTTACTTACCCATCTAATGATATCATTTACTTACCCATACAATGATATCGTTTACTTATCCATAAAATGATATATGTTATTAACCCATTTAATGATATCGTTTACTTACCCATCTAATGATATCATTTACTTACACACCTAATGATATCGTTTACTTACCCATCTAATGATATCGGGCACCTTGCCTCGTCTAGGTCCTCTGTTATGTACATTTAGAACACATGTAGTGTTACACTAATGATATCGTTTCATTACCCATCTAATGATATCGTTTCATTACCCATCTAATGATATCGTTTACGTTGTCATCTAATGATGTCGTTTACTTACCCATCTAATGATATCGTTTACTCACCTGTCTAACAAAATCGTTTACGTACCCATGGCATCTAATGATGTTTATTTACCCATCTAATGATATTTATTATTAACCCATCTAATGATATCGTTTACTTACCCATCTAATGATATCACTTTTACTTACCCACCTACTGATATCGTTTACTTACCCATCTAATGATATCGGGCACCCTGCCTCGTCTAGGTCCTCTGTTATGTACATTTAGAACACATATAGTTGCTATTAAAGAGAGGAATGACCAAATCAGATTTAAACTATAAAAGATACCTGAAAATATAATTCATGGGTGTAAAGGGAGGCAACTCGTGAAATATACATCATTTAGAAGTGGTAACAGGTGTTTCGTTAGAAGGTATAAAAGGTTTATTATGTCACTTCCTGGTGCACCACGCCAGTTCGGTTCGAATTTGAAATAAATTTGACATAAAAACTGCACTTTCTCCTTGTTTTAATTCTTTTTTTTTTTATATTGGCGAATGACGATATTTAAATTTGAATCTCAAAATAGTAGTTTTTAATTATGTATATCTACATACTGTCTCCAGAGCAAATGGCATTCGATCTATCATGTAATATGAACAAAATATATCATAAATGAGGATGCCTGGGCAGTGGATTTACATAAAATCTGCACTTTCTTTTTTATATTGGCAAAAACAAGTAGCTCGTTTTTCGACATGTCAACTTAGATCTTAAAATATCAGTTTTTTTTATCATGTATATGAATGTTTCCAAAACATATCGCATTAAATCGCGTTTTTCGTAATTCGAAAATATCAAAAAACAAGGAAAAGGAGCAGTTTTTTTATGTGAATCCACTGCCCAGGCATCTTCATTTATGATATGTTTAGTTCGTTTTTGAAACCTTGTTTAATCAAATGTTTTTTTGAGACATTCTCTACATATACATCCATCAAATCTGTTGTTTTTTTTTAGATCTATGTTTGAATATCGAAAAACGAGTAGCATTTGTTACTCGCTAATATCGAAAAACGTGCGTTGTTTACATTGGATTTAGTAATACCATTTTTGTTAACCCCTCTCCTCCCCACCCTCATTTTATATACCCATTTACACTAAATATGATATAATATTATTATCTTTTATCAATATTATACATCACGCACGCGGCAAGAAGACATATATTCACAGCTTACCAATCCTGGGCCCTGTTTCACAAAATTTTAACTAAAGATAAAATACAAATTTTAGTAGATACTTCAATTTTGATTGGCCAATAAGCACTAAAATCAATCTAATATTATCCAATCAAATAACTAAAATTTGGGTTTTACCTTAGTTAAAATTTCGTGAAACAGGCTCCTGATTTGTTTAATAGTTTTACTTCTTAGTCTGACTAGTTTAAAATCTTACCAAGTAATGGTAGTGTCACATGTTGCGTTGGTAGAATCTCCTGAAGTTTGAATATCATCAATATGTTAGATATTATCAATATGGAACCTGAAACAGATAAACGATAGAAATGAAATGAAATAGAGTTTAACGTCCTACTGTTCTGCTCCGACTGGGATAATACCCCATACAGTATGCTTTGAGGGAAATGTTTCCCGGACAGCGGCGCTATGACTCATGCTTATATCAAATTCCAACTGTCAATGTGTACACGGGACCTTTGTTCGTCCCATCTGAACTTAGCCACCGTGGCTCCACGAACGATAGAACATCTTGTAGCTTGAGTATCAGAGTGAGTAAGACGTCGGAGCACTAACCAGGGAGATCCAGGTTCGATTCCCGTGCTGACCGAGAAGATTTCCTTGTCAATGGGGTAGGGTATGGAGCTTGGCAATGGACGGTGTCCCGTAGTTCGGATACGAAGACAATCCGCGGTCCCTTGGTACGTAATAGAATGCTTGACTAATTAGATGAAACGCAGGTGGAAACGTTAAAAACCTTTACAAACAAGATCAGATGTTGGCGACTTTGCAGTCGGCAAACATGCCAACTTGACTTCTTTATGAACTTTATACATTATTATTTTCTAAATTAAAATCTCATTTTTAACCCTAAAGTAAATATACATTGATTTTATAATTGTTTATTGATCGACCACAAAGGATTATCACTTGCTAATTCCATGACGAGTCGATGGAAACGCCAAACACAGTGTTATATCTGATCGGCTGTAGTGGAAGATCGCGTCAGAGGTCGCACAAGCGGCTTTTGACCCTATGGCGTCAGACATTGATTAATCAATCAGCGTTGACGTTTCTAGTGGTTAACCCACAGTTCCCTGCATCGCACGCCAAGAACTCGCTGTAACATTGGCTAATCCCACACTTCAACCAGATCCTAGTGTTGTGAAGACAAGTTAAACGAAATTTTCTACTATAAAAAACGAAACGAAATAGGATCTGTGTTTTAATCAGATTGTGTTATATCATAACAATCATTACTGATCATTATTTTTATGATGCCATTTTGTACTTACCAAGTGTGAGTCTTTCTCTTGATTCTGGTGGTAGAAAAAGTTGAAATGGAATCAGTAAAGACAAGATAACAGCAGGTAGAATATAAACGTGTATATAATATATTGGCTTCCTCTCAAGTACCATAGTAAAGACCATAGTATGATATGGCTCGGAACAACAAGCGTACTTTAAGACAAGTAAGTCAGCCGTATAATCTAATAACTTCCAATCATTCCCACTTTCAACAAATTCACTTAAATCGAAGGCTGATAATGCGTTACCACCCCCATACGTAAGATTAAGTTGATTCCCGTGATATGTCCATGATCCAAACCTAAATTTACACGTTTGCTTATCAAACGGGAATCTAAGTAAATTTCCCTCACATGTGGCTTGCAAGCGCATAGCTGGTATCCACAATATAAATCCGTCCTTATATACAACTACTGTTTGGTCGTTAAACGTACGCTCATCTCCCATCCTAAAACAGAAAAGAAAATTTGAAAGAAAAAAACAAACAGTTTTGGTATTTTATTGCCCAAGAAGACTTGAAAGATGTGAATAAAATGCAAGAGTGACTCCCCCTATCAGTGACACAGGACGACAGGCCTGGCGAGGAATTGCGTCTAGTCATCAGCATTTGAATGCTACTGCTGCTGCCGTTGCTACTTAGAGATGGGTATTGCCACTGTAGTTACGATGCGATACCTATTGCGACGTAAGTGTTACGACACGATTCATAACCAGGTCAATATTTACCAAGATAACAATAGGGTAAATGAATAATTGATATCTTTAGTCCTGAAAATCTCGAAGAAATAAAAATGTTTTTCCTCACAATATTGATGTGGATCATTATAAGGACCAAAACAATTAAAGAGTGTGTGTTTATTTCGGCTCTAATTTCAATCGGGTACAAGCCCAGCTTGTGAGGCTATCAGATTCCTCGGCCGTCGCGAATACCAAGTCTTGCGATTTCAAGCTAAGATGTCTACCGATGATAATCGAGTTGCAGAGTTCAAGGTTCGTTCAATGTCAATTTTTCCATGGAGGTCGCGATGTCACAACCTCTGATTGGACACTACTGTTCATGTGTCTGTAGATCACGTAGCTATAAGTTCGAGAATTGTGAAGCAATCCAGAAACGTACAGACGTTGCTTCAGGAACACGATATTGTGCCAGCATTACGCTGCTGTTATTGCGAATACTGATTCTCATTCTCACGTCGTCGACGACGATGATGATGATGATTTCCACCCACCCATTGTATAAGACAACATCTGGTCTCCACACTACTGACGCACGTCGTCGACGACGATGATGATGATTTCCACCCACCCATTGTATAAGACAACATCTGGTCTCCACACCACTGACGCTGGTAATCTTAAAGTATCAATATTTCCATATCTGCTGGGGTCCCACTTCAGCCTCTCATCTGTCCATTGCTCCAACAGCACGGCACTTACATCCAATCGTTCCCTGATCTCGTCCTGATAAAATAAAATTAAAAAAACCGTCATGAAAAACAACTTAGCTAAGCATCAAATTATTTTCGAACAATACTTTACAACGCCAATGTTTTGTCCACGCTATAACCATTAGTTTTTCCTCTATTCATGTTATGTCCATGCTATCATCGCCAGTCTCTGTATTGTCAATGATTAAGCCTCCAGTCTTCACTGTGTTTGTTATTGTAAATACCTCCAGTCCTTCCCTGTGTGTATTATGTCCATTGTACCATTGTTGCCCTTCCATGTGATCGGGTTATGATAATGCTATGATCTTTGACACCTGCCTCCCCGCGCAGGTGTTGGGGATGTGGCAACGCCGGGATATGAAGCCATGACATTCCTTTCGAGCGGTCACGGTCGTCTTATTTTGGCCGTTGGTCGGCCGTAGGTTTGTGTAATTTTTCTGCCTATTGCTACACATCTTTGTTTGACTGGCGTGGATACTGATTTGAAGTTCTACTCTTGGACTTTATGTAATCTGTTTAAATATGGTTACCCAATTCACATATTCTGCCAGAGTGATCGATCTAACGTACTTCGAAAGTAGGTGTTGATATTAAAATAGGAGACAACAGTTTACGCGCATACGATTTTATATCGAAGTCGGTTACCCAGTTTAAAACAATAAAATACAGAATACTTAAAAAGAACATGTATTCTCTCAAACCTACCCCTAAAAAGTATAGACTGCGCAGCTAGACTTTTGGAAAACACTACATCATTGGTTCTACCAGAATTCAAATGGTCATCTGATTATCTAAGCTTAAACATATTTCAGGTCTTTTTTAGGCTTGAAATGTTTTCTAAATTATTAATTAGACATTAATTAACTTATCCAGGCCTTAATCAACTCTCGATAGCATCGGATTTCTCCGATATTAAATAGATTAATAGAACAGTTCAGCCATATTTTGATTTAAGCTAAAAATGGAGAAGCGAGACTTAGCTCCGAACAACAAATATGGTGGTTGAGATTGTTGCACACGTCTTGCCAAGCCTTCAAAGCCAATAGCTTCGCATGCAATAGAGTAATTTGAATGAAATTTTCAAATTATTCATTTTACATTATCTATTTTCGAACTATTATAGCAAGAATGACTAGCCCTTTATCTAAATCTTACATAATGTATCTTTAATTCTAGCGTTTTATATTCCCCGTCTCAGTTCCATTGCCCATACGTAACCTGGAGATTTTTTTATGTATCTTTGGCCAAGACAGGTAAGAGTTGCGCCCCTTCCTGCAATAAATCCCATAATTCTTGCGTTAATATAAACACACATGAATCGTGACGACGAATTAGGATTAAAAAGAAACCATAGATATGTCCCATGAAGAAAGAAATTTTAAAATAAAAAGAATTAAGAGTGTTGGATATTGAACTGGCAATGCAATCAAATGGATTTCTGAAACAACATTCTTAATTTCACAATTAATTTCATGGGCGTCAACTTCTTGTTTTAGGACTTGTTACCTCCCTTAGACTTTGTTTATGATAATGTAAAAGACCGGATAATCTAGCCAATAACCTGTTATTCTCGAATGTTGACAACGTATCCAGACTAATAGTTGAAATTCGGTATAAGAGTAGGCCTTAGTGCCGCTGTCCGGGCAAAATTTCCCTCATATTGTGCATGCCCGTCTTCATTAGCCCAGTCAGACGTTAAACCCCATTTCATTTACATAATGCATCTTTAAAGTTACTTCATAACTTACCATTTCTATTATACTGTTCAATGATAATCCAAGACGTACAGATACCGATCCTGTTTCATTCTTCAATGGCATTATGACATTAGTATAAGAAGTAAATAAATCTTTATACAGTTGCAGTTCGTTTTTATTAGCGTCACTCATTATTCGATCGCCCAACACTGTAAAATACGAAATGGTGGTCAGGGATTAGTATACTAAGCAGCAAAAGAAACCTCAGGTTGGTATGTTACTCTGAATAGACGCTTTGCATCAATTTTTTTATTATATTTGTGACCACATCCCCAATTTTACCTGAGCAATAAGGCTCCTTCCCAAGCACAGAATTAAACCCAGGAAATGTTCTCAAAAAAGCGAACCTGACTTCTGAAATGGTAATGTGTTCTCCATAATGTTCATGTAACTCATGCTGCACGTGCTGTTCACCGGGACCAGCCCTATAAAATGCACCCCCATACCTGGTTGAATCATTCACACTACAACGTCAGCAACATGCCACGACTCACGATAGCCCAGAGGAACCAGGCGCTTGGAAGACTCGACGCTGGCCACACTGCCCAAGCCGTTGTCAATCACTTCCAGGTCAATGGACCATCTACAGGCTTCAGCAACGCTTTCGGGCCACCAACACCACGGAAGCGAAACGAAATATAGATCTGTATGTAATCAGATTGTACCACAAGGCGACAAGACTGCCATGTTGTGAGACAACACGTGCAGAATCCCTTCACACAGGCATCTGAGACAGCACGTCAGACACACAGCAGACCCATCAGTACCGATACAGTGCGCCGACGTCTCACCAGAGAGAACATCCATTGCCGTAGACCTTACCGTGGACCGATCCCCACCCCTCGCCATTGACGTGAACGTCTGCAGTTTGCCCAACAACACCAGAACTGGCGACACAGGCAATGGAGAACTGTTCTGTTCTCAGGTAGGAGTCGGTATTGCGAATCAACTGCAGATGGCAATACCAGAATATGGCGTCGACGTGGCCAGTGGGGTGGAATTGGCCTGAACCAGGGAGTTGGCCATGGGGGAAAGGGGGGGGGGGGTAAGCATAATGATTTGGGGTGGAAACGACCTGAACCAGAGAGTTGGTCCTGTGGTGCGCTACATCGATCAAGCTCTCACACCACACGACATACCAAATTTCGCACATCATCGAAACAACGTTTTCCAGCATGACAACGCCTGTACCCACACCGCCAGAGTTACTTGGGACTTTCTACAGCAGAACGGATGAACTTCAGAGAAGACTTAATAACGTCGTACCGAGATCAAGAGAGAGAGAAATGGGGTTTAACGTCCACTCGACACAAACTAGGTCATTTCGGGACCAACACATGGTTCAATTTTATTTCAATAATTCGCTTGCGCGTGGGAGGAAATCCGAGGACCCGGAAAAAACCCCACGAGGCTGGACAGGCGACCCTACTCCTTTTAACGTACAACCGGGCGTACCGAGATCAAACACAGCCGATGGATTGCGCCAGGCTTTTCTGAGAGTGTGGTTCCAGGTGTCAATGGCGTTCATTAATCGTCTGGTCCGCTCCTTGTACAGACGCTGCGCTGCTGATATTGACACTGGCGGTGGACACGCCAGATACTGATGTATAGACCGTCTAAACCTCGTAATGTCTTGAAATTGTAATGAATTAATCACAAATGTGTCAACATACTGTTAAGTATATTCTAGAATATCCAGGCAATGGTATTTGAAAAAACGAAATAGTGGCCAGATATATAGTTAGATCTATTTCTTATGGTCGCCTCCAGATTTCGTCAAAGGTCAGGAGATGAAAATAAGGCTGGCGGTAACCCTAAACCTGGACCTAGCCCTAACCTTTGCCCAAATACTATACCGCAATCCCGTCAACAGTTACGTGCGCTAACCTTTTTTACATCTCAGCGACCTTGACAAAATCTGGAGGTGGCCTTAATAACTGGACCTAGCCCTAACCTTTACCGAAACCCTTTCCCGCAATCTCGTCAACAGTCACGTGCCCTAGCCTCATTTACATCTCAGTGACCTTTACGAAATCTGGAGGTGACCTTAAGAACTAGATCTAGCCAACGATATATAGAATAAAAAAATATACGAAACATACAGCCAGGGAAGAGTTTTTTTTAAACAAACCAAAAAAACAACACAAAAGCACAGCCCTGTCTTACCGCATTGTTTCGCTTTATGTCCCTAAATATCACTTACTGCACATGACGTCATTTATACTCGCAGAGATAACTTATTGCACATGACGTCATTTATACTCTCAGATATAACTTACTGCACATGGCGTCATTTATACTCGCAGATATAACTTACTGCACTATCAGATGATTGTGTTGACTTGATATCGGGCTTACAGAGAGAGAGAGAGAGAGAAATGGGGTTTAACGTCCATTCGACACAAACTAGGTCATTTCGGGACTAACATACGGTTTAATTTTATTTCAATAATTCGCTTGCGCGTAGGTGTCTTTAGCAGTGGGAGGAAACCAGAGGACCCGGAGAAAATCCACGAGGCTGGACAGGCGACCCTACTCCTTGTCACGTACCACCGTGGATTCGAAACCACGCCAGTTGACTCAATGACAGGCCTTGTGATACTGCACGCACGTGCCATATCGGGCTTAACGTCCGCTTCCACCCCGGCTGATATCGCAGACAAAGATAGCTGATTTACACGTGAGGTTATGTTTACTCACAGGTATAACTTTATGTCATGTATACTCCTCGATTTAACGCTTAGTGCTAAATGTTAAGGACGGCTGAATTTTTCGTCATGGGTCACGAGATGTAAAAAATTCTAGCGCTAATCCCAACCCTAACCCTAATCCTGGACCTAGCCCCAATGCTTACCCTAACCCTAAACTACAATCTCACCAACAACCACGTGCCCTGACCTTATTTACATCTCAACAACCGTGACAAAAATTAAGCTGGCCTTAAATAGATTTAGCCCTGATTTAACCTACTGTACATGACGTCATTTATACTGAATCTTCCACCTTTACCGGGTAATTCAGTTTTGAAGAATATACATAACGTATTTCCAAATATGTTATAAAAGATATGAAATGGGTTTTAAGGTAAGGGTGTTCCATTAATACTCAAAATATCGGAGTCAAATAGAAAAATAACCCAGTAGGAGAAAGAGAGAGAGACATGGAGTTTAACGTCCACTCGACACAAACTAGGTCATTTCGGGACTAGCATATGGTCCAGTTTTATTTCAATAATTTGCATGCGCGTAGGGGTCTTTAGCAGTGGGAGGAATCCGGAGGACCCGGAGAAAACCCACGAGTTTGGACAGGCGACCCTACTCCTTGTCACGTACAACCGGGGAATCGAAACCAATACAGACCTTTTGACACAGTGCGCACGTGCTAACCATTAGTCCATCCACCCCCTCATTAGGAAAAAAGGATAAGTCAGAATTTAATAAACTTGGTATTGTTTCAAGTTATGACATTAACGATTTGTTTAACAGTCGGGGGCGGGGGGTTACGATGGCTAAGTACGTAAGACGCTTGCTCGCTAGCACTGCATTGGCCGAGATAGTTCATCCAGATTTTCCGGCGTGGTTCCCCCTTGTCAGTTGATAAATAGACGACAACACGACCTTTCAGGCAAACTCTAAAATAACCTTTCTATTTGAAAATTTTAAATCACCTAATTTTCGGTTTATTTATAGCCGGCATGGTTTCTTCTTTGTCAGTGGTACAGGACGGAGGACCTGACAAGAACAGCAGTCTAGTCGTTCGGATGGGAGGAAACACTGAAGTCCCGTGTACAAATTGGCGAGCACGTAAAAGATACATTGACAGTTAGAATTCGATATAAGAGCCGTAGTGCCGCTGCCCAGGCAAAATTTCCCAGTTCGTAGCAGAACAGTAGGACGTTAAAACCCATTAAATGTCATTTACAAATATGATTTAAAAGAAATGAAATGGGTTTAAAGGTCTAGCTGGTCCATTAATACTCAAAATATCGGAGTCAAATAGAAAAATAATCCAGCAGTAAAAAGATTACGTTAGAATTTAATAAACTTGGTATTATTTCAAGGCATCAACGATTTGTTTAACAGCCAGCTAATAAACTCAGATTGAAACCGATTTTTTTGTTCGATCTTATTATTGAACAACCGTTTTATAAAAATTTGACAACGCTGCTGGTCTGTAATAACAGGTCGGGTGGAATTTCATCTAGAATTCAAGAACCGATATTCCAGTGTTAACATTCGAACCATAAACAATAGAGGAAAAAAACTGTACACGAAAATAACCCAAAGAAAATACACGAGGAAAAGATACACAAAGGGTTGCAATGTGCGACACTTTAAAGGGTCAGTCCCAAATTCACATGACGCAAAAACATAGGCACCTCGCCCCCACCCCTCCTAGGTGCACGGCAAGCCATACACAGCTCCGTTCAGACCAAAGCCTACCGGAAATCAAAATTAATTCCACTCGAAATTTAGAAGACAAAAAAAACAAAAAAAAAAACAAACAAAACAACAACACCACAGTAGTACGTTCCTATGTAATAAGAGGTGTTTCGACGTGACACAGACACACTAACCAGGTGGCCCAGGGTACTATATCAGTTTTGGCTGAGGGAGTCCACCCCCCCCCCCCCCACACACACACACACACCTTGTCAATGATGCAAGGTGGAGCTTCGAGCAAAGGGAAAACTTTAGTGGGTAAAATACACCAGGTCCCTTGTATGTCATTGGCAGCAGGTTAGATTTCCCTGGCAGTTCGAAATCGAAAGTGAAATACCCCTTACAACACGCCTATTTCCATTGCTTTCCTTATAGGTCTAACGACATGGCTGTAGTTACATAAATGGAAAATTGATGAGAATATTTAATTCTTTAATTTGCAAGACGTCTTTGATTTGTCGATTTCATTAGATAAGTTGTAAGTTAAACAATATTTTATTACTTAATTACTCAGTGACATATTTACTATATGGATACAATACCAATCATTGAAAAGAGATACACGTGGTTTCTAATTTCACGATTTCTTTGATTTGTCGATTTCATTAGATAAGTTGTGAGTTACACAATATTTTATTACTTAATTTACTCAGTTATATATTTACATACTATATGGATACAATAACAATCATTGAAAAGAGATACACGTGGTTTCTAATTTCACGATTTCTTGTACTCGGTTATTGTTGTAGGAGGAACGCGCAAAACGCAGACAAGATCTATAAGACAAATGAAATGAAATGAAATGGGTTTAACGTCCTACTGTTCTGCTCCTATACTGGGCTAATGAAGACGGGCATACGCCATACAGTCTGCTATGAGGGAAATTTTGCCCGGGCAGCGGCACCATCGCCTATTCTTATATCGAATTCCAACTGCCAAGGGATCTTTTACGTACATTCCAAAGTATACACGGGACCTCGGTTTTTCGTATCATCCGAAGGACTAGACAGCTGTCCTTGCCAGGCCCTCCGTTATGCACCACTGACAAGGAGAAACCACTTCGGACTTATAAGACAAACCTGGGGACAAGACAGTACACAAACTACACATACATTACAAGCAATACACACGCAAATATCAAATCAAGTGAATGAACCCTGGGACCAGTAAGCATGGACCACGGTGGTATTATAAATGACGTCAAGTACAATAAGTGTATAAATATGCAATAAGTTGAATCTGCCATGTGTAATAAGTTGTATATGGAAGTATAAATGACGTTATCTGCCGTATATCTAGGAATATAAATGCCGCCAAGTGCATTAAGTTATATCTAAGAGTACAAGGAAGTCATGTACCCCAAAGTTATGATTCGACGTCATGATCCGGGCACCATAAAGCGCAAGTTATATCTAGGGGTATAAATGACGTCATGTGAAAAAAGTTATATCTGGGAATTAAAATGACGTTATTGAGTTAAATATGGAAGCATAAATGCCGACATATGCAATGAATTATTATATCTGAGAGTATAAATGACGTCATGTAACATAAATTATATATTATGGAAGTCTAAATGACGTCATATGCAGTAAGTTATATAGATCCTAAGAGTATAAATATCTGGGAATATAAATAACGTTATGTGCAGCATCTAGGAGTATAAATTACGTCCTGTGCAATAAGTTATATCTGGGAGTATAAATTGTATATTATGTTGTATGTTTAAAATCCCACCATCTTTGTGTCGTATAGAAGTGTTATACAATGCAATTCTTTGATTTGAGTCAAAAAGTAAATAAAACTCTCAGATTTATTGTAATATAAAAGATAAATTCAATTAGTAAATACAACGAAATTAGTTTAATTATTCAAATCAAAACTTTAATCGTATAAATCTTTCCCAATCACAAGGACATCAGATCAAACTAATAAAATACTCTAACTTGATCCACATCAAAAGGGATTAGCGCCTTCTAATTCGATTCATTTAAGCATCAATAATTTATATTTAAATGAGAATGAAACTTACCTTGTGTAACAATAATATCCATAAATAATATCCCACATAAAGTCCATGTTTTCATCTTGAAGTCAGAAAAGGGGGGCGTGTATGAGTGTCTCAAGTCTCTAACATTAATTACTAATAAGAAATCTGATACGAACTCGTATCCACTTCATATAAACTCTTGGCTAGTGGCTAGTTTTAACAACACAGCCTCGCATTGTATTTTTAGATATAAAATAACTTAAACGAATTCAAGAATAGCGAAGACAGTTTTATAATGATTAAAGGTAGGCTTAGACATTTACATCTGTATGCATTAAACCATGTGTGTCGCGATCAGGCAGTATCCCAAACATCAATACTTAAAGGCTCAATACCACACTTGTTGTAACTGAATAATATGTCCCAATCTTTATTCTGGTCAACAAATTGTACTATTTTACAATATTCCAACTAATTGATGATACAAATTTCATCTTAACACACCTAATTTAAAAAATTGGAAAAATTCAACTAAATGATTTGAAAAGCCTTACTTAAAGCTTTTCAAATGTGACTTGGATTTAAAAATATTTTTGAACCCTTTGGACAAGTAAAATAGGATTTAATGGATAATTTACACAACAGGTGGGACACTAACACATCTAGTACTTAGAATAAGGCTATTTTTTTTATTTTCTGGAGCTTTCAAGCCAGCAAGAGTGTTATTGTCCCTTTAAGTCCGTTTTCCAGGTATGCGTTTTCGTCGGTTACATAGAAACAGTCCCGTTACATTTGCTTTCGACCCTGAAAACGAGTCAATGGAGAGAGAGGGCGAGAGGGAGAGAGAACGGAGGTTTAACGTCTAATCGACACGCTCTAGGTCCTTTCGGGACAAACATATGGTTCAATTTTATTTCTTAGCACGTCATAGCACACTGCATGTATACCCCATACATATGCCATACACACGCCATTCATACATCATGCACACTTCATCCATATCCCGTTCAGTCGCTTAAGTTGAACTGGTTTAAAAACCTCGGCTCGCGACCTGTCTTCAAGAAGGCTTTTTATTTTAAACTGGTTCATGTTAGCCGTCTGAACGGGTTGGCTGTACGCAGTAAGTTACTTTCCTGGGAAAATATCGGGGTCAGAGAGTGCCAGTGTTAACGAAAGCCTGCGAGAACCGAATAAAGAATATGAAGCTACCCATGGGTAGTTAACTTTCACCTCCGACGGTATAACGGTGTACCATGAGGGGAAGTGTGTATAGAGAGCTGCGTTTCCGCCTAATGTTTATGGGATTCTAATGTCGGGGTCGAACCTCGAAACTCTTGGTTACTGTGCTAGATCCGAACTGACCGGGTTTTAGCGTCCTACTCCCGGTGAGCTAATGAAGACGTGCATACGTCATGAGGGAAACTTTGTCCGGACAACGACACTAAGGCACGGGTTGTTTTACATGCACGCCAATATGTACACGGGACGTTGGTCTTTCGTTTCATCCGAACGACTATGAGCGAATCTGGTCTAACATCAGAAAAAATAGTTTCCTCATTTGTGGGGATGGTATCAGGGTAGTTTTAAGAACTGTACAGCTGTGTGTGCTGCGGTGGTTGACGTTTGTAAATTTTCCTCATAGGCAGGGCATCAAGGATGTATGCAGGCATCTGAAAGAGTTTGGCGATCAGAGGTACACAATTTCAAAATTACTTAATTCGATATTAAAGGGTGGTCTAGAGGCTATTACACCCAGATTTTAGTCGTAGAAAATACACCAATGTTTAGGCATTTAATGCACCCTGATTTTACGTGTAGAAAATACACCCATGTTTAGGCGTTGAATACACCCAGATTTTAGTGTTCAATTACACCCATGTTTGGTGGGGGGGGGGGGTAAAAACACCCAGGTTGCAGAATTGGGTTATGTCATATATAAACCGTATCTAAAGAACTTTCCCGCCTCACTAACACCAGTCCACCACATCCCCACCACCCTCGTATTGAAACATAACAAGCTGTGTAAGTGGACCTTGAACGTATTGAATTAGAGCTGTGGGTTATTGTTAGTTATACCACGGTAGAGAGAGAGTAATATATTGTCAGTCAATATCAGATACTGCATCAATGAAATATGGAATAAATGATGATTTAATCCGATTATTGTATCGCTCAATAGATTACTATAATAATATTAATTTACTACCAAATTTCTTTATTGGCATGTTAATCTTTCAATAGACATATACATGAACGGGAGGCAGTGGGCATTATAAATTGGGAGCCGTGGTGACTCAGTCAGTAAGACCTTAAAAGGGAGGTCTCGGGTTCGCACCCATTGTTGGTCGAGGTGGTTCCTCGGGTATATCCGGCGTGGCCAACCCTTGTTAATGTTACAGGACGGCTAGGTTGCCAAGGACAGTGTCTAATCGTTCGGATAGGACGAGAAACCGAGGTCCCGTATACACACTGGCGTGGGAATTCGAAATCAGAGTATGTCGTAGTGTCGATGTCCGAGCGAAATGTCGACCATAGCACACTTTATGGGGTATTTCAGTCGGTGCAGAAAAGTAGGACGTTAAACCCTATTTCGTTTCATTTGCAGTATAAATACTGTTAAACGAATACAGAAGTGATACCGCAGACAAAACGTAATCCGAATGCGCAAAATAAGAGTATTCGGCATGGAGACAGTGCTGGTGAAAACGATCTATAAGAAAAGAGGGAGGGGGAGAAATGGGATTTAACGTCCACTCGACAAAAACTAGGTCATTTCGGGACAATAATTCAATTGTGCTTAGGGGGTCTTTAGCAGTGCGAGGAAATCGGAGGACCCGGAGAAAACCCACGAGGTTGGACAGGCGAACCTAGGCCTTGTCACCTTCAAGTGGGGAATCGAAACTACGCCATTTGCCCCAACGAAACACCTTATGATGCAATCCGACACATCCACAATATGGCCTACACGTAAAAGATCATTTGACAGTTGAAATCTGAATAATTGACCCCCACCACACCCCCTACCCAACACTTTTACTGCGCACCACTGACGTAACCATAGAAACAGAATGTTATTCTCAAAATACCCGAAACATTGCGTTAACGAGACTTTTAACTTCCTTCAATTTCGCTCTAAAGATATTCCATATTTTAGATACGGAGTCCAATATAGCCATTTTGATTTCTGCAATATCCGATAAACGTGAATGGGGTAATTATAGACCGACAGCAGACGTACAAATATGAAGTCTGTCACAAATAAAATCAACTCAATTTACTTTCTTCTCTTATCAAATAATTCCTTCTTTGATTTATTTACCCGTGGGAAATTATTCACAAATTATTGTGTTGATTTACTTGCTTCGTGCGTCTTGTTATAATACGAGAGAGAGAGAGAGAGAGAGAGAGAGGGAGAGAAAGATAGAGGGGGGAGAGAGATGGGGTTTAACGTCCACTCGACACAAACTAGGTAATTTCGGGACTATCATATGGGTTAATTTTATTTCAATTGCCTGCACAATTTCAATAACCTCTTTCTCTAAAATAGACTATAGTGACTGACAGAACAGTAAATATGTTACACAAATTTCGATATACGGTCAAAGGGGGAATAACCAATATGACCACTATAGTTACACTAAATTTACAATTTGCAGTAGAAATAATATTTCAAATGACATTTCTAATAATTTACAGCTCACATTTTATAAAATGACATATGGTTGTATTTCTACATTAGGTTTGATGAAATGTTACATAAGCCTTGTTTTCATATAAATTGAAATCATTTTAAATTAAGTTAACAAACCATGTGATATTACAAATCGGACACTTGTATTTTTACTATACTTATAACTCTAAAATACATATAATTGTAACAGTGCACACACTCTTTTTATTTGAAGTAATAAAGACTCTTGTTTGGACAAACTTATCGCTTGAAATATAATCCAACACGAATTATGTCTGGTATCAATATGAACTGTACCATGGTACAACCAAATCTGCCCGCTAGACAACAACTGATAGATCGTGGTTTACAGAACTTCTCTGTCCGCCAAAACATAATTAGACATTCTCTATTAAAACGTTTAGCATATTAAAACACTATTTGAACGGTGGATCTGCAAATTGGAGTGAAATGAAATGATATGGGGTTTAACGTCTTACTGTTCTGCTCAGATTGGGCTAATGAAGATGGGTATACGCCATGCAGTGTGCTATGAGGGAAATTTTGCTCGGGCAGCGTCACTATGGCTTACTTTTATATCGAATTCCAACTGCCAAGGGATCTTTTACGTGCATGCCAATGTGTACACGGGACCTCGATTTTTGGACCCATCCGGACGACTAGACAGCTGTCCTTATCAAGCCCTCCGCCCTGCACCATTGACAAGGGGAAACCACGTCGGAAATGTACATCATGTGAAATGTTAAAGATATACGTACAATACAGTTTGAAGTAGTCCACTTTAAATAGTGTATTCGTTTTTTATGGGTCAATCCATGTCGATACAGGATATCACATGTCCCTTCAAGTATAATTAGATTCAGAAAGCAAAAAAAAAAAAATAAATAAATAAATAAAATGATAATAAAAAAGATAATTCTGACGAGCGAGATAATAAACTATAATAAACTTAGATACCAATCAGATAATGAGGGGAGGGGCGCAATGGCGAGCTTTGTGTCGTGGTTTTGAGTTTTGGCGCACCCTTGAGCTTTTGCGCCCCCTCGCAAATGGCAAAAAATCACGCGGTTTCGATGCGGTTTTCAACATCACATAATAACCAGTGTCAAGCATATACCGTGGGTCAGATATGCTACAAATCGACTCTAGCATGTTCCACACAGCCCAATATTACCCGATGGCACTGGGAGGGACTACCACCCACTCCCTCACACTCACTCACACACACATAAACATATTGTTATGGGGGACCCGGACCGGATCTTGTTCCTCATGAAAAATCATGGATCATCACGCTCCTGATTTCAGTTTGTGAAATCCACAGAATATTGCCGCCATTTATGGACTTTATGTCTTTGACCACACCCCAAGGGTCATTATTCACGAAATCTTAAACTAAATTATTTTAAACTAAATTATGTTATTTCATTGGTTTACAGCTAAAAGAGGACTATAATTTGAATTCTGGGTCAATGAAAATGCTGAATTCCTAAAATACATTAGTTGAAGTATTCGTGATTTTATTGCAGGCCCTAAATA